AAATGTTATGAATGAAATGGTTGTAAGGGTACAAGTCAGGTTATGCACATGATCAGGGTTTGTATAAGAGGCTGGCAAGAGCACAATTCCTGTTTTCAGATCTGTGATAATGCAAGGCAGTCCTTGACAAATGACTGCAATGAGTTTGCCCATTACAGTCGTAGGCCGTGACAGCTGCCCTAGGGCTGGCCTGATTTTGCCATTGTTTTTGTGGTGGTCGTTAAGCCAATGCAGCTGTTGCAAAACGAATGGTATGGTCGTTAGGCAAACCTTTGCCAAAACTGTTGTAAAACATGGTCACGTGACAGGACCCCAGCTGGAACTGGTGTGATAACTCCCTTTTTGTAGGCACGTAGCTTGTATCTTTGGATTGTCATTGAGAAGGTGATCATAAAGTCAAGGACCCACTTGTAATGATAACCCAAATATTTTAGCAGTCACAGAAAAGATTTTCTCGCATTTCCATGGTTCAGTTATTCCTGCCAAATGTGGTAGCTCTTCCTCCCTTCCTCCCTCCCTCCCTCCCTCCCTCCCTCCCTCCCTCCCTCCCTCCCTCCCTCTTTCCTTTCTTACTTGCTCCCTCCCTTGCTCCCTCCCTCCCTCTTCTTTCTTTCTTTCTTTCTTTCTTTCTTTCTTTCTTTCTTTCTTTCTTTCTTTCTTTCTTTCTTTCTTTCTTTCTTTCTTTCTTTCTTTCTTTCCTCCCCTCTCCTCTCCTTTCCTTTCCTTTCCTTTCCAAACTTCAGTTCATCACCTTATGTGATTGAGTGGGCTATGTGACTGGCCCAAAGCCACCCAGTGAACCTCTGTGATTGAGGGGGTTCTACACCTTAACCACTGCACCGCACTGTCAGACTCAGAGGTTCATAGGCAGTGCTCTCCTCTAGATCTTCACAGTTGTACCGAGCCAAAATCAATAGCAACAGATTCTGACAGGGACTTGTTCTCAAAAACAAGTTTCTTATTCAAGAACTAAGTCTAGAGGCTTAGAAAATGCATATTTTGGTCATTAACTGAAAGTCACCTCTGTGAATTTGAATCCAGCCGTCCCATGTTGAATAATTTATTTACTGATCAAAAGACTGCATATGCTAGGGCAAATGGAGACGCTGTCAATTTCAAAAAAACTGCCTGGCTTTTATCTCCATTTTTAGCATCCATGAATGACAAGATGCTGAAAACTACTTCCTGAGGAAGCATCCTACTCTTTTCTTTTGGTGTAATCAGAATAAGGAGAATGATATTTAAAGAACGGGTAGCAGATTTCAACCCACCTTTGGTTTCCAAAGCTAAATGAATTCCTTATTTTTACTTCTTCTTTTTTCTCTTTTGCTTGCTTCCTGTCATCTTTTACAGTGCCAGGAATGCTGGAATATGAAAGTCTTCAGGGGATTTCGGGCTTAAAACCAACTGGATTTCGGAAACGTTCTTCTAGCATCGATGACACGGATGCTTACACCATGACCTCCATCTTGCAACAGCTCAGCTATTTTTATACCACCCTGTGTCAGAACGGCTTAGACCCGGAGCTTTTAAAGCAGGCCGTGAGGCAGCTTTTCTTTCTGATCGGAGCAGTTACCCTGAACAGTCTGTTTCTTCGGAAAGACATGTGCTCATGTAGGAAAGGAATGCAAATCAGGTAAACCTGTATTTTGGAGGGGAAAAAAAACAACAACAAATAATTCAAATCTCACCGGCTCAAGGTTGACTCAGCCTTCCATCCTTCCGGGGTAGGTAAAATGAGGACCCAGATTGTTGGGGGCAATGTAAATGTATATATATACATTGCTTACTGGTGTACACCGCTTAGAGAGTGCTTGCACTTAAAGCGGTATATAAGTCTCATAAATAAATAAATAAATAAATTAGAACTATAGATTCCATACTTCGATTTAAAGAGAGGAAAAGGATCTCAAAAGCGACCAACAATTAAAAATACATTGGATTGGATAAGTAAGGTGGGGGCAACATGCTAAGTCGTGATAGGTGTCTTACTCAACAAACAAAACGGTGTTCATGTGTCCCCAGGACCTGGCAGCTGTCATAAATGTGAGGACTGGTCATCAGTCATTGTTTTCACTGCCACCATAACTTTGGAGGGTCATTAAGCAGAAGTCAGAAATTACTTAACGACTGTGTTCATACAACTTCAAGAGATGGTTGAAGAAACCACACACAACAAGTTTATGCTCCATGCTAGGATTTGCAAGCAGCGTTGGCTGCATTCACGTAACACGCTACTACATACACAAATTAAGGATTTACTACATACACAAACCAAGGATTTCAGCTCAGATACTGCCAAACATCTCCTAAAGTAGGGGTCCCCAAACCCCAGGCTGTGGACCAGTACTGGGCCGTGGCATGCCAGCGACCGGTCTACACAAACAAGGAAAGCCCTATCCACAGATTGCAGTCAGCACACAAAACCACGCACCGTCCGGTCTCTCTCCACCGAACCAGCCCCTGGTGCCCAAAAGGTTGGGGACCTCTCTCCTAAAGGATATTTGAAATAAAAGTGGCCATTTTCTGCTTCATCGCAGGTGCAACATCAGCTACCTGGAAGAATGGCTGAAGGAGAAGAACCTGCAGAGCAGTTCTGCAAAGGAGACATTGGAACCTCTTTCGCAAGCCGCCTGGCTTCTTCAGGTCAAAAAGATCACAGAGGAGGATGCCAAAGAGATCTCGGAGCATTGCGCGACCCTCTCGGCTATGCAGGTATTAAATTTAATAAAGGAGAATATTTGTAGCTCAGGGTTGAAATGAGAGGCCCTTGGTGTTCTCTGTGCTTGGTGGTTTTCTTGCAGACATCACATTACCCAACTAGGCAACATCATCAGAGCTAGAAGGGAGTGTGGAGAGGAGGAGCAGGAGGACTGTGGTGTCCTTGGTGTTCTCTGTGCTTGGTGGTTTTCTTGCAGACATCACATTACCCAACTAGGCAACATCATCAGAGCTAGAAGGGAGTGTAGAGAGGAGGAGCAGGAGGACGGTGGCGTCCTTGGTGTTCTCTGTGCTTGGTGGTTTTCTTGCAGACATCACGTTACCCAACTAGGCAACATCATCAGTGCTAGAAGGACATCTTTGCATGTCAAACAGAGGGCAAATCCCACGCCCTTCTAGCACTGATGAGGTTATCTAGTTTGGGCAATGAAATATCTTCAAAAATTCCAGCTAAACTTAAGAGAGCACCAAGGACCACTCAGGTATTGAATTCCTTCCTGGATCTGAGCGGTTAATTATTGACTTTGCTTATGGAACATGGGCACTGAAGGCTGTAATTGGCAATCATATGACCACAGGATGCCAAAACATAATTATGAACCAGTTGCCAAGCAACCAATTCAGGGCCATGTGATCCAGGGTCCCCTGATATGTAAGTCTGTCTTGTTCAGCACCCTTGTAACTTCAAATGGTCACAGACCATTTGGGTGTTAAATGAGGACTACCTGTGTTTTGTTCCTTGATTTTCCCACCATCAAGACTCTTCTCTGGCCCTCTTCTTTAGGCCCTCAAATGCAGTTTTACCTACTATGAATGTATCCTATTGTTTGAGAGTTGTATGGTATATTTGTATTAGTTTTATATTTTTGATATGGTCAAATAACTAAATGCATAAAGATTCTATTCTATTCTATTCTAATTTCTCTTTTCTTCTATTGTTCTGTTCTATTCTATTCTAATTCTATTCTAATTCTAATTCTATTCTATTCTATTCTATTCTATTCTATTCTATTCTATTCTATTCCATTCCATTCCATTCCATTCCATTCCATTCTATTTCCTATTTCCTATTTCTATTCTATTCTATTCTATTCTATTCTATTCTATTCTATTCTATTCTATTCTATTCTATTCTACTCTACTCTATTCCATTCCATTCCATTCTATTCTATTCCATTCCATTCCATTCCATTCCATTCTATTTCCTATTCTATTCTATTCTATTCTATTCTATTCTATTCTATTCTATTCTATTCTATTCTATTCTATTCTATTCTATTCTATTCTATTCCATTCTATTCCATTCCATTCCATTCCATTCTAGTGCAGTTTTGTTTTCCTTTCAAACTGGAGTTTGCAAATCGTAATTTCTTTTCATTCTCTCCACAGATAGTAAAAATCCTCAATTCCTACACTCCCATTGATGATTTTGAAAAAAGGATAGCTCCATCCTTCGTTCGTAAAGTCCAAGTATGATTTTTAAATGCAGTACTCTATTTTTCCCCTTCTATTTTTTGGTCCTTATTTTTAAATGCCAAACATCTTGAGATCTCTTCTATTTGGAAAGCAGCATGTCAATCAAGGATATAGATAAAAAAAAATTAAAACCTGCCATCGTGTAATAAACGGCTTTCTATAGGAGAATGTATCCTCCTAAAACGTCTTAGACCCACATGTGCATTTGTTAATTCTCTCTTTATTCTGATTTCAGGGAATGCTGAACAATAGGCAGAATTCCACACAACTGATGCTTGATACCAAATTCCTCTTTCAAGTGACATTTCCTTTTACACCTTCATCACATCCGCTGGAAATGATAGAAATACCCAGCAGTTTCAGACTTGGCTTCCTCACTAGAATATAGTTACAAGAATAATGCATTATAAATTCTGTTCTGTCCCAGCCTACGTGAGTCCTTGTTATGCTCACAAGGAGAAACCCCTCTTCCAAGAAACAGGCAGGAACCGCAAGAAAAAAACAACCTCTTTTATTCTCACAGACATGAGTCAATGTCCAAGGCAAACAAAGACAGTCCACACAAACTCGATCCTCAACACAAACGGTTGCCTTTGGCAACCAGCACCTCTCAAACCTTCCCTTTTACAATTCAGCCAAGGCGTGGCTTCCTAATGCCTTCTCCTTTGCCTTTGGAGCCGCCCCATTGCATTCCTCTGTCCTACTCGCTTCTCTTGCCTGCGCATTCGTGCATCCGGGATTTGTCCCAGCTGTTCTTCATCACTGTCTAACTGCACAACTGTGTCTCAGCCTGAGCGCGAGTAGCGGGGCCAGGCTCCTTGTCCGACTGTGAGTCTTGGAGCTCCTCAAAGCCTTCCTCTGATTCTGATGTCACTCCAGGCCCCTCCTCCTCATCTGATTCCTCAGACTCAGCTGCCGGGTCCACTGGCTAGCAAGGAATCACAACAAATTCACTCTTTCTCAAAGAGCAAACACAGACTGTTCAGAGATGCTTCCGTATCACTGTAAATCTTCTGATGACGATACCTACTTTGCAGCACTGATGACGTTACCTAGTTTGCTAATGGAATGTCTGCAAGAAAACCACCAAGCTCAGAGAGCACCAAGGACTCTCCTGTAAAGCTTTTAAAAAATGGGTATTAAGTCTGGGGAAGCAATATGGACTTCAAAAAGTAAGAAATGGAATACTGCATATTTCGTTTTCCTGCCTCAACCCTAGCAACGTTAAGGTATGTGGATTTCAGCTCCCAGAATTCTGGCTGACTGGGGGAATTCTGGGAGTTGAAGTCCACGCTTCTTAAAGTCGCTAAGTTTGAGAAACACTGCGCTAGATTCCTCCATATTATATCGAGACCGACCTAATTTTAATTTATACATTTATAAATTAAATTTAGACATTTATAAATACTTCTATAATGAAGGATTTTTTTCTATAATGAAGGACTAATAAAGAGCTTATTTTAACCTATGGCATTTGAAACGCAGCTTATAGAATTCCACCACTGTAAATAGTCAGACTAAGATAATAATTTTGTTGGATCTTTTGTGTGTGCGTGGCATGTGTATAATGACAGACGGTGCCACAGATGAGAGTATTCCACTAGATAACGTGTCAAGTCATTGCCACACAGATAAGCTAACTTCCTACTTAGCTTTTTCTAGATCATCCCAAACTGGCTCAATGTGTATTTGTTACAACTTTCATCATTCAAAAAAAAAAAAATTAAAATTAAAAAAAATCCTTTGTATATGGCAGTGGCGGCAAGACCTTTAAATGCAAAAAGTAGAAAGATACACAATTCCCACAACTCAAATCAAATCAACCTTTATTGTCAAAGTGCAACATGTGTACAATGAGATTGGCTGAGCCTCCTTTGTGCACCCCCCCCGACACAACTCACAGTGACAACAAACCCACCATCTTACTACACCATGTGAACTTATTGCACAATGTGCCGGCCCCGCAAGTCTATCATACATGGAGTTATTTCCCATTCAGGAGTCTGACAGCTCATGGGTAGAAACTGTTCTTCAGCTTGTTGCTGTGGCTGGCTATGCTTCTATATCTCCTACCCAATGGTAGGAGAGTAAAGAAGTGCTGACCAGGGTGTAGTTGTCTCTGAGGATTTTCCTCACTCTTCTAAGTGGAATTTGAAATCAATGGCAAAAGTGACTACTTTGGTAAAAGAGAAAAGTAATTCAGCTTTGTTTTACAGTGGTACCTTGGTACTTATCCATAATTAGTTCTGGGAGGTGCAGTGAGTGCCAAAAATGATGAATACCAAATAAATTTTTCCCATAAGGAATGTAGTGAGTCACAAGGCAGCTGACACCAATGAAGTCCTAACTTGTGCATTGAGTACCAAACAAACGAGTACCAGGACAAAATTTTCACATCAAAATGTATCAAGTACCAAATCTATTGAGTTTCAAAGCAGTTGAGTACCAAGGTACTCCTCTACGTGGAAACCATTTTGGGGCTTCTTGCTTGAGAAAAATAAACATGAAAATTTGATTTTAGGATTCAGTGATAAGATTTGTTATGATTCCAGAAATATTGTGTATTGTTATTCTTACTAGACATGTATACACATATACATGCATTTGTATATTTTTTTTCCTTTCTGTTTAAACCGAAGAGTAAAGGGTGTTTATGATATATAATTCCAAAGCTATTTGATTAATTTGTACACTTTCATACAATGTTTTTGTTTTAACTTAAGAGTAAGAAGTTACTTTATATTTGTGTCTGTACTGAAGAAACTCTGTTTTTTCTTGTCATTTTTTAACCTTTCTCCCCTTTTGATCTCCTCTCCCCTAATTTTTCCTTTTCTGTTGTTTTGTAATTTATCTTTTTTGGGGGGGAAATTTAATAAAAGTTCATTTAAAAAAAATAATTCTTTGAAGGCGAAAAAATAGCCGAGAGAAGGTTTCCACCCTCAGCCTCCTCTTCATACCTAAGTTACAAACTTCTTTGCATGAACTGATGGTGTGAATTGTTCCTGGTGAAACATGGACCTTAATTCAACAGGTCCCAATTTCTCTCTTGGGTTCTCAGAAATTTTTTTTTTTCAGATCTTGGAGGATTTCAGGGGAAAAGGTGCAAACACAGTACAGATCAGGGAACTTCAAACTTGGCCCTTTTATGACTTGTGGACTTCAACTCCCAGAATTCCTTAGCCAGGCACGCATGCCTGGCTGAGGAATTCTGGGAGTTGAAGTCCACAAGTCATAAAAGGGCCGAGTTTGAAGACCCCTGGTATAGATCAACAGAGATTTGCATGGGAACAGCCTCTTTCTGACTTAAAAACCACACTCACGCATGTTGGCTAGATGAGGAATGGCGAACTTCCCACATGGCCAGTGGTGAGGGCATGGCAGAGGTTCAAAATTTGAAACTTGAGGCCAAAGAAAGAAACATATTCCAGCCCTACTGAACGAGCCATTGCCTAGAATTTCCTTTTAACTGTTTCAAACCGGTCTCTGGAACTCCAACCAGCATTACAAGATCGTTCTATATATTACAGGGTTGGTAAATCCCTCTAAGCAGATTAAATCAGCCTGAAATTCTTCCACCTGCACTTTAAATAGCCCACCGATTAGCTTGTTGCATTCCTAACACTTCACGATATCGCTGTGGGCGAGAAAAGGTAAGAAATACCCTTACTGTTTTTTATTACAAATCTAAATTTATCTATTATTGTTGTTAGTTGCAAAGTCGTGTCCGACCCATCGCGACCCCATGGACAACGTTCCTCCAGGCCTTCCTGTCCTCTACCATCTTCTGGAGTCCATTTAAGCTCACGCCTACTGCTTCAGTGACTCCATCCAGCCACCTCATTCTCTGTCGTCCCCTTCTTCTATTGCCCTCAATCTTTCTCAGCATTAGGCTCTTCTCCAGTGAGTCCTTCCTTCTCATTAGGTGGCCAAAGTATTTGAGTTTCAACTTCAGGATCTGGCCTTCTAAAGAGCAGTTGGGGTTGATCTCCTCTAGGACTGACCGGTTTGATCGCCTTGCAGTCTCTATTTATAGAGTAATGCTGAAGTGTTTTTCAATAACGTCTGTTTTGTTGTTGGTTGGGCTTGGTACCTTACTTCTCCAGGCAAGCCTTCTCAAAGTGACTTAAAATAAAAACATTACGTTGCAAGAATTGTAAAAGGATTGCAAGAAGAATTGAACTTCTAAGGTCCTCTAATGCCTATAAATAAAACCGATGTTTTCCAAGTCTTGTTTTACTCACAAGGCAGGTGTATTTGTACTCAGTAAATGGCTTTAATAATGTTTAAGTTTTAATGGTGTAATGGATTTTTAAAAGTTGTATTTCTAATTGTTCTGCTGTACGCCACCTAGGGCCACATTCATGAGGTGGGCGGTTATATACATTTGATAAATAAAATAAAAATAGTGGATTCACTTTCATTTCTCCTACTATAAATTCTTTAGTCTTTCTTGGGCATCAGCAGATGGCCACTCGCCAGGCTAAATTAAAAAATGGTGCACAGAAAGAAAGAGCGAAAAAAAAGGAAAGAGAAAGGAAAAGTTATAGAGAGCTGCTTCCAATCTTCGCAGCAATTATAAGTACATTTATATTTTACCTCTAAAATTACAACATAATTTCCTTTGTACCATAGTCTGTTCTTTCTAATCATCAAATCTCTCAATCACGTTTTTTTCTTTTTTCAGCAAAAACTCTAAACTATTTCCAATCAATAATAAATTTAGTTATTGTCTCTAATCAACCACCATCCTGTTGTTTATCTTTCTCTCTCTGTCTCTCTCTTTCTAATAATAATAATAATAATAATTTACGTCTCACCATATTTTTTATGGGAGAGACACTCTTTGTCTGACTCCTCTGATGAGACCTGTCCAGTATGGTTGAACCTCTGGCATAGCTCTCATCTTCCTCAGAGTACACAAGCCCCACAACCACGTCAAGGTAGTGCCTCACTGGGGGTAAAAAGGTCCGCACTAGATATTGGAGTTCCTGGATATCTGGTGAAAAATGGGTTACAGGACTCAGGACTGTTGGCTGAGCAACCAGGGCCAGCAGCTGCAGAACTACTGGAAGAAAAGGTGTTTACCCGTCGCAGATACACAGTGATGGAAAACAAAGAAATAATGATCTGTTACTACAGATCAAGTCCAACAAGAAGAGGATATCTAAAACGAATGCACCAGTTCTGGAAAGAACAACATCCAGAATCAGAAATAACAGAACAGAGACTAGCAGATCAACGCCGATTTATAACACGAAATAAAGTATTCACAGAAACAGAATTGGACGAACTGCAAAGGTTTACCCAGGGCAAAGAAATCAAAGCCTTACCAGAAGTAATTCAGAATGTAGAGGCAAACCAGGGGGAGTTGGCAGTGAAGGAATCCAGCAGAGATATACAACTGTTCTCATTTGGAAACCAGGCACCTCTTCCTCAGGAAGAACAAAACCCTCTAACTAAAGAAATAAAAGAATTGAAACAAAGAATAACTGAGCATCTAGAACAGCACAAAAACAACAGAATAAGGCTACCTGCATTGAAGCTTGTTCCAAAGAAACAGCTAGCACAAGCATTAAAAGATGCAAATACTGCAATATCAAGTATAAGCACCAATTCACTGCAAGAAACAAACCAACTAATGTACAGCACAGCTGCAGTTATAACAGAATACCTGGGATGCAAAATCAACAAAGAAGAAAAACAAACAAACAGTGCACCAGAAAAATGGAAGGTTAGACTAGAAAATAAGATCAGCAAGTTAAGATCACATGCAAGCAAGCTAGAACAGATGAAAGAAAAGAAGCTGAAGAACAAGAAGACCAAAGAATACCTAATCAAGAAATACCACTTAGAAACAAGGAAGATCAAGGAAGCACTGGAAATAATAAAGCAACAAATAACAGCTATAGCCAGGAAAATCAGTAGATATGAAGCTCGAATTGCAAACTATAGGCAGAACCTCCAATTTCAATCCAATCAGAAACGTTTCTACCAATCCATCAATGGAGAAACTGCAAGGAATCAGTCAGTACCTGACAAGGAAGAAACAGTGCAGTTCTGGAAGCAGATATGGGATAACCCAAAGAAATACAACAAGGATGCGGCTTGGTTAAAAGAGGTGGATGCAAATAAAACAGAAGTTGAAATGAAAGAACTAGTAATAACAACAAAAATGGTAGAAAAAAGAGCAAAGAAAATCAAAAATTGGTCAGCACCAGGTGAAGATGAACTGCATGGGTTTTGGTTGAAACATCTAACTGTTATACACCCACTCATTGCCAAGCAGTTCAACAATATACTACAAGGAGGAGAAATTGAAAAGTGGCTAACAACTGGGAAAACCTACCTAATAATGAAAAATCCAGCAAAAGGGGCAACACCAGGTAACTACAGGCCAATTACCTGCTTACCAACAACTTTCAAATTACTAACTGGTGTAGTAGCTGATGCAGTGCAACAGCATCTAGTTGAAAACAATCTCTTTCCACCTGAGCAGAAAGGAAACCGCCCCAATAGCAGAGGAACAAAAGATCAACTCCTAATAGACAAAATGATCTTGGAAAACTGCAAGAGAAGGAAGACCAACCTGAATGTGGCATGGATTGACTACAAAAAGGCATTTGACTCTCTGCCACATGATTGGATAATAAAGTGCCTAGAAATAACAGGAGTCAGTAGAAACATCAGAAAATTTGTGCAAAGATCGATGGCACAATGGAAGACACAGTTGCAGATCAATGGTGAGAGGCTGGGAGAGGTTAATATCAAGAGAGGAATATTTCAAGGAGATTCATTATCACCATTACTATTTGTTATTGCACTGTTTCCTCTGTCAACAATACTGAATAACTCAGGACATGGCTATCAAACATCAAAAACATCTGCCAGACTATCCCACCTCCTTTACATGGATGATCTGAAGCTGTATGGAAAAACATCATCTGAAATAGAATCGCTGCTCAACACTGTCCGTATATATAGCCAAGATATTGTAATGGAGTTTGGCTTGGACAAATGTGCCACACTTACTATCAAACAAGGAAAAATAGTGAAAACTGAAGGAATCAAGATGCCCCACGAAAATAACATTAAGAGTCTGGATGAGGAAGAGTACTACAAATACTTGGGTATCCTTCAAGCTGACAACATCAAGCACACTGAAGTCAAGAAAAAGATTAGAGGTGAATACATCAAGAGAGTGAAGAAGATCTTAAAATCCAAACTCAATGGAGGAAATACCATAAAGGCAATCAACACCTGGGCAATCCCAGTCATTAGGTACACAGCTGGAATAGTGGACTGGACTCAAGCAGAACTAAAAACAATGGATAGGCAGACCAGAAAAATAATGACAATGAATCATGCCCTTCATCCACGCAGTGACATTGATAGACTTTATCTACCAAGGCAAATAGGTGGGCGTGGAATGCTACAAGTACATCAGATGGTTGAAGAAGAAAAAATGGCTTTGGAAGAATATCTGAAGAACAATGATGAAGATGCACTGAAATTAGTATATCAGGAAGGCTTACTAACTACTGGAGAGACCAAACTGGCCTACAAGAAAGACCAAATGAAGAACAGAATAGAGGCATGGGAAGACAAAGCACTACATGGCCAATACATGAAAAAAATAGCTGGGAAAGCAGATAATAATAAAACCTGGCAATGGCTAAGAGCAGGAAAATTGAAGAAAGAGACCGAGGGACTAATTCTGGCTGCACAAGACCAAGCCTTAAGGACAAATGCATACAAAGTCAAAATTGAGAAGACAGCAACAGACAGTAAGTGCCGCCTATGCAAAGAAGCTGAAGAAACAGTGGACCACTTGGTAAGCTGTTGCAAGAAGATTGCACAAACTGATTACAAGCAGCGGCATGACAAAGTAGCAACAATGGTGCATTGGAAGATCTGCAAAAAATATCATTTGCCTGTAAGCAAAAACTGGTGGGATCATAAAATAGAGAAAGTCATAGAAAATGATAAAATTAAACTGCTCTGGGACTTCAGAATTCAAACAGACAAGCACCTGCAACATAACACCCCAGACTTAACAATTGTCGATAAGAAAGACAAAAAAGTCTGGATAGTGGACGTGGCAGTGCCTGGAGATAGCAGAATAGAAGAGAAAGAACTGGAGAAGATAACAAAATACAAAGACCTACAAATAGAAATAGAAAGACTGTGGCAAAAGCAAGCAAGGGTAGTACCAATAGTCATAGGCTCCTTGGGTGCAATCCCAAAACAACTGGAGCACCACTTGAACACCATTGGCATTGACAAATTCGCTATTAGTCAATTGCAAAAGGCGGCCTTATTAGGAACTGCTTCCATCCTGCGACGATATCTGTAATACCATCAAACATCCACATCTGCCTATCCCAGGTCCTGGGTAAGGACTCGATAGGTAGACAAAATGCCAAATCCAGTCTGAACATCTGGCTGACTGTGCGATGATCGATAATAATAATAATAATAATAATAATAATAATAATAATAATGTTAGAAGGGACATTGGAGGTCATCTGGTCCAACCCCCTGCTCAGGCTGGAAACCCTATACCATTTCAGACAAATGGCTGTCCAGTCTCTTCTTAAAAACTTCCAGTGTTGGAGCATTCACCGTTCTGGAGGCAGGTTGTTCCACTGGTTAATTGTTCTCACTGCCAGGAAATTCCTACTTAGTTGCAGGTTGCTTCTCTCCTTGATTAGTTTCCATCCATTGATTTTTGTCCTGCCTTCAGGCGCTTTGGAGAATAGCTTGACTGCCTCTTCTTTGGGGCAGCCCCTGAGATACTGGAACATTGCTAACATGTCCCCCCTCGTCCTTCTCTTTATTAAACTAGACATACCCAATTCCAGCAGCTAGCTTGCTTTCCTTCCTTCCTTCCTTCCTTCCTTCCTTCCTATCTATCTATCTATCTATCTATCTATCTATCTATCTATCTATCTATCTATCTATCTATCTATCTATCTATCTATCTATCTATCTATCTAAAGTCACAAAGAAAGCTGTCCCTGTCACTTCCATTCTTCTCTCTTTCAGCTACCTGCAAAGATGTGTGACCAAACCTTTGCGATCAATATTTTTGGGGCATGCGACATTTGCAAGAAAGAGAAGGTTCTCCAGCAAATATACTACAAATCGGAGAAACGCAGCAGCTGTTCGTTATGCATAAAACTGGTACGTCCTACAACTATTTGAAGGCTGTTTGGTGGGAATTCACTGGATCTAGTGGGGTTCCCTTCTATTTTAGGTGCATCCAGAGATGAAAAAAAATAAATGACCCAGCTCCAGTCTATATCCAACTCCACATAGATCCTGTCCCCTCCATTAACTAGACTGCAAAAATCATCATCCCTGACTAACCAGCGAGGCATGATGTAGTTCTCCACATCTGGAGAATTGTTGCAGAGGGACCTTCTTTTTCTCTGCTATGAATCTTCTGGGAACTGAAATCGGGATACGGAGAGCAAGTTGGTTTGCAGGCTTCAGAATTCTTCCTTTCTTTGAACTTGTATAAAACTTCCTCCTTCCTTCCTTCCTTCCTTCCTTCCTTCCTTCCTTCCTTCCTTCCTTCCTTCCTCCCTCCCTCCCTCCCTCCCTCCCTCCCTCTTCCCTTCCCTTCCCTTCCCTTCCCCTTCCTTCCTTCCAGATTTCTTGAATAGCCTTTCCTGGAATTCCCCCTTGACTCTGCCAGGAGTCGCAACATAGTCCAGGAGCACCTGGTTGAAGAAAGTCCAACCCAGCCATTCCAGCCCTTCCCTCCCTAAGCTTTCGTGGGGCAGCCTTCCCCAAATAGGTCCTCCCCCCACCCTCCGTCAGATGCGGCCGGGGTTCCCCTCGAATTGGCCGGCCTGCAGGGGAAGCCTGGAAAGCTGCCCCTTCCAGCTGGTGGCACTCCATCTATCCACCTCTCCCTTTGCCCTGCCAGCAGAGTGGAGGATGGGAGTAGTACCAATGAAGGCGAACGTTTGTCGCTCAGGGTTGACATGAGGGGCCCTTGGTGCTCTCTGAGCTTGCTTACTTTTCTGGCAGAGGTTTCCTGACCCAAACTCAGTGACATCATCAGGACTAGAGTTTGTGGACAGGAGGAGGAGGAGGAGGAGGAGGAGGAGAGGAGCTGTGGGGTCCTTGATGCTCTCTGAGCTTGATTGTTTCCCTGCAAACATTTCAGGATCCAACTAGGCAATGTCATCAGCCCGAGAAGGGAGTGGGGTTTGTGGACAGGAGGAGGAGGAGGAGGGGAGCTGTGGGGTCCTTGGTGCTCTCTGAGCTTGCTTAGTTTTCTTGGAGACATTTCAGGATCCAACTAGGCAATGTCATCAGTGCTAGAAGGGAGTGGGGTTTGTGGACAGGAGGAGGAGGAGGGGAGCTTTGGGGTCCTTGGTCCTTTCTGAGCTTGGTGGTTTTCTTGCAGACGTTTCATTACCCAAACTAGGTAACGTCATCAGTGTTAGAAGGGAGTGAGGTTTGTAGACAGGACGCAGAGGAGAAGGAGAGGTGTGGGGTCTTTGGTGCTCTCTGAGCTTGCTTAGTTTTCTTGCAGACGTTTCCTGACCCAGGGCTGGGAGTTGTAGTCCTAGGGCGCATCTGGAGGGCGCAGGCGGAGAGAAGGCTGCGCGGGGCTTCCACTCTTCCTCCATTAACCGGTGGATGCCGCCGCCGCGCGCTCCCGAGAGGGCTGCCCCGGCTGGGCGGGGGCGGAGGCTCCTCCTTCTCTCCCCCGTCCTCCCCTCCCCTCCCCATCCTCCCCTCCCCATCCCCGCCTGGCTGGCTGGCTGGTTGACTGGCGCGCTCCTCTCTCTCCCCTTCTGGCCAAGATGGCAACCGAGGGGCTGCAGGAGAAGGAGAGCCTGGCCGTGCTCAAGAGCGAAGCGGAGAATCTCAAGGGCAAGCTGGAGGAGGAGCGGGCCAAGCTGCACGACGTGGAGCGTGAGTCGGGGCCGGGCCGGGCGGGCTGCGCCCCGGGCATCGCCGGAGGGAGGCAGGCAGGCAGCTGGGCGCCGCCTCTCCTGCAAGCCCGGGCGGAGGGCAGCGGGAACCGGGTCCCTCCGGGGCAGCGCCGGGCGGGGAAGGGGCGCCGCCCCGGCCATGCCCCCCTCGCGCTGGCCGGCGTAAACAACGGGCTCCGCCGGGTGGAGACGCCGGAGGGATGCCCGGCCAAGCCCCAAAGCAGCGGCGGGCCAAGGGGGCATGGGAGGGGGCTCCCATGGGTCATGGGGGGGTGAGGCAGAGAAGGGCCTCTCCCTTCCTTCCTGCTTTTTGCACCGTCTCCTGCCCTTCTCCTCCCGCCGGCCGGAGAAACGGGGCTCCGGCGCCCTAGACACGCTCCAGCCCTCCCCATTTGCAACCTGGCGCCCTCGAGATAGCCTGGAGCCCGGGGGTCCTGGAGGGGCAGCTCAAATAGGGTTGGTGAGCAGCTAACTAGGTTTGGGGGAGGCTGGGCTTGCAAGCTGCTGTTTCTTGGGGAGGGGGGGGGAGTCGCCTCGGAATCAACCCTCCAAGCACCCCTGGATTTTTTTGGGGGAGGGGGAAGAGTTTGGAGCCTTGTTGTTTTTCTGCTCTGCAGAGACCTGGATCTGCCACCCAGTAAAAGAAGAAGCTTTGAACTTAGCCGGAGTTGTTAACGGTTGCCATGAATATGCTTGCATAATTCGAGGGTGGGTGGGTGGGTGGATGGGTGGGAATGATAACCTGTTTGAATTATAATGTATTCAAAGTACACGCTGCCCAACTACAGCAATTCTGGACAACAGAAGAATCGTATCGGTTAGAAGGGACCTTGGGAGGTCTTCTAGTCCAACCCCCTGGTCAAACAGGAAACCCTCTACCAGTGGTTCTCAACTTTTTCTTCCCCACGGGGCCCCCTTTAAATACCTTTTGTGGCCATGGACCACCAAGACTTAAGATTGAAAGCACTGGACAGGATCCCTGTGATGACATCACACACACACACACCCAGGGTCCGTGGACCACAGATTGAGAACCATTTCAGACAAACGGGAGGGCAAAAATAGATGAAATTGTGTCTCACTTCCTTCTCTAAGGACTACGTGGGCTTTCATTCTATCACCACCGCAGTCCAGAGACAGGAGCTAGGTTGAGCAGAGTGGACCTCGCTAGTCATCTTCCTCGACTCATCCCCTCCAGATGTGTCCAGCACCAACTGTCCAATCCTTAGCCAGCTGTGGCTGAGTGTTGACCAACATATCTGGAGGATGTAGACCTGCAAGAGGCTGACAATTGACCTCACTAGGGTTGTTGCGGTGCGAAAAATGGGAGGAGGAGGGAGTATTATATACATTTGTAACTTTGAGATAATAAATAATAATAATAATAACAACAACAACAACAACTGGAGCACCACTTGAACACCATTGGCACTGACAAATTCGCTATTAGTCAATTGCAAAAGGCAGCCGTACTAGGAACTGCTTCCATCCTGCGACGATATCTGTAATACCATCAAACATCCACATCTGCCTATCCCAGGTCCTGGGTAAGGACTCGATAGGTAGACAAAATGCCAAATCCAGTCTGAACATCTGGCTGACTGTGCGATGATCCAAAATAATAATAAAGTTGGAAGGGACCTTGGAGGTCATCTAATCCAACCCTCTGCTCAGGCAGGAAACCCTATACCATTTCAGACAAATGGCTGTCTAGCATTTTAATTTCAACTCCCAGTGATCTCGGAATTCCTCAGTATCACTGGGAACTCTGGGAGTAGAAGTCCAGACATTCCAAAATTGCACTATTAGACTTTTTTGACAAGGATTTTACAAAAAGTCCTTGGCCCTCAGGGAGTCTGAATCGAAAATTGCCTTACTTGCTTTTCTCAGCCAATGCATTTTATTTAGCTTGACTTCCTTGGGCTGTTAAAGATTTCAGACGCATGGAGCAGTTTGAGGACTCATATCGAGTGCAGGGCATTCCAGCCAAAAGGGGAAAAAAAAAGACTTAAGAGAAGTTTATTTCTGTCCCCTTTGTTGTGTCCATTTTTCTTTCCCAGTGAAATAAATGTATTCCACTGATATTTTTTATCTTCCAAGGAACTCTGACATTTTTAGAGTCCTTGGCCTTGAACAATGGGGTCAAAACCCACCGGGTCCTCCAAGCCCTGGTGAACCTGTTTCCCAGAGTAGAAAGTACGGAATGCTTTAAAAATTCCCAAATCCTTCACCAATATTTGGCTTTCCAGCAGACGGGAATCAGCTTTGCCGGCCTGCAAGAGAGAGACCTATTTCTGTTCTTCCCAAAATATAAAGAGAAAGCTTCTGGTTGCTTTTTAAACGGCTAATCCATCAACGGGAGGATTAAAGAGGCATAAATGGGTTGCCTTGAATGATAGCCAAATAAGTCATAAGGCACCCACTCCTCAGTATTGGGTTCAGGAGTCCTGCCAAAAAAACAACCCTGCCAGCAAAGACAGAGGCCAGTTGTGGGAGTTCAAAGTCTGTTTGGCCCCTAAGTGCTCCATTTGTGCAAAAGAGGAATCTGTCCTGGAACTTGTCAAGGATGCGCTGGGAGCAAAACCAGCCTGCTTGCAAAAAAGAAAAAAGAAAAGAAATCTGAATTCAGCTTTTTTTTTTTTTTTTTTTAAACTGGCCCTCTCGTTTGGAAGCGTTTTTTGGAAAGCAGAGTGAAATTTTTCGATTGGCTTTTGAAGCGGTCTGTCAAGTGTGCTGCAGCTGCCCAAAAAGCCAGCACAGTGCTGGGCTGCATTAACAGAGGGATAGAATCAAGATCACGTGAAGTGTTGATACCACTTTACAAGGCCTTGGTAAGGCCACACTTGGAATACGGCATCCAGTTTTGGTCACCACAATGTGAAAAAGATGTTGAGACTCTACAAAGAGTGCAGAGAAGAGCAACAAAGATGATTACGGGACTGGAGACTAAAACATATGAAGAACAGCTGCTGGAATTGGGTATGGCCAGTTTAATGAAGAGAAGGACAAGGGGGGACATGATAGCAGTCTTGCAGTATCTCAGGGGCTGCCCCAAAGAAGAGGGAGTCAAGCTATTCTCCAAAGCCCCTGAAGGCAGGACGAGAAGCAACGGATGGAAACTAATCGAGGAGAGAAGCAACCTGGAACTAAGGAGAAACTTCCTGACAGTTAGAACAATTAACCAGTGGAACAACCTGCCTCCAGAAGTGGTGAATGCTCCAACACTGGAAGTTTTTAAGAAGAGACTGGACAGCCATTTGTCCAAAATGGTACTATAGGGTTTCCTGCCTGAGCAGGGGGTTGGATGAGATGACCTCCAAGGTCCCTTCCAACTTTACTGTTATTATTATTATAATTGCCTGGGTGAATGGCCGTTGCTTTTTTAACTGCACTTTTAAGAAGGTTTGATGTGGTTTTAATGGGGCTCCTTTTTTTTAAAGATGAGAGTGGATGCTTTTTAAAGAAACTTCTTCTCTTCTTAGTACAGAGGATCGCTCCTAAAAGACAGCGTTTTACCAGTCGTGAAATATTAATAAATAGGGCTGTTTTGGTTTAGGACAAGGGTCTCCAAACTTGGCGGCTTTTAAGATCTGTGGACTTCAACTTCCAGAATTATTCTCCTAAACCAGACCTGTGGACTTTAACTCCCAGAATTCCCCAGCCAGCATGGCTGGGAGTTGAAATCCACAAATCTTAACGTTGCCAAGACTGTAGACCCCTGGTTTAGGAGAATTAATGATGCAACATAAAAGGACCAGCGTATCCAGAATTCCAACGAGGTTGATTGCCCAATTTGATGAAGAGAGTTGTAGAATTTGAAAAATTGGACATGGTGGGATTTTGTTGGACCTAATAAAAGAATTCTCCTAAGGTCTGTAATAAGTAAATATAAATCTACTTTCTGAATTGCAATGGGCATAAAAGATCCCAGAAATCTTTTAAGTCCTTTCCCCTCAAATTTGCAGTATTCCTCTGCACAGTGGGACTGGTAGACCATGTCTTCTGCTTTTATAAGAGAGCAAGTCCACATACAACATGAGAAATGCGCAAAGGATCTCACAGACAATTGAAAGCATCTCCCAAAAGTTTAGTTTTAAATTAACACAAAAAAGAGAAAGAAGGAACAAAGGGAAAAACAGATGTCCACTTCATTAACAACTCTGTGGATGATTCGGAGCTACCATCGCCGTTCCTCTATCCACCCTACTTCACAGTAGGAAAGGTGAGAGAACAATCATGTGGGCCAACCTGAGCCTCTTTTAGATGAACGTGTGAATAAATAAAATTGAATAGTGCTTCTACTTCTAGAGGTTGAAAATTGCAAGGAAACAACCCTTGTGGAATTCCACATTTGCTTAGAAATAAAGCTTGTTCTTGTTCTCTGGTGCTGCGGCCAATACATGTTGAATTGATGATCAATGGTAGGCAGCTAGGTTCTTCACTCCTGGTTAGATTTCCATAATTCCCAGTCAAAGGTCATTCTGGCTAGACAGGGGTAGGCAATCTTGGCTCTTTTATGACTCGTGGACTTCAACTCCCAGAATTCTGAGCCAGCATGGCTCAGCTTGGAAACCTCTCCCTTTTCCCTCAGCTTGCGTGGCTCAGGAATTCTGGGAGTTGAAGTCCACAAGTCACAAAAGAGCCAAGGTTGCCTACCCCTGAGCTAGAGATTAAGAATCCTAAAGTCCAAACATACCTAGAAAATATCAGGTGGGGAGAAATTGTTTTTCACTTGATCCAATTACTTTTCAGTGCAGTTGTGGTTCTAAAGGTGGGAATCAAAGACCGGGTCTTTGAATAGGTGAGGTTATCCATCTTTTTTTGGTCCTTGCTCTGGATGCAAACAGGCCCACCTCATTTCCCTGGGTTCACACAGCTTCCCCAGGACTTCTGCTAATCCCCTTCTTAGCTTGGATTTCTTGCATGGGGTCCTGATTTGGTCCTGCTTCAGTGGTGGCTCTGGGCTCAATGCCGCTGTGAATTTCTCGTAGTGCACCAGGTGGCGGAGCGCGTGGAGGCTTTGGGACAGTTTGTGATGAAAACACGGAGGACCCTGAAAGGCCATGGGAACAAAGTCCTCTGTATGGATTGGTGCAAGGACAAAAGAAGAATTGTTAGCTCTTCCCAGGTAACAGGAGTTTTTATTTGTTTATATTGTCTTTTCAGCTTCTTTCGAGACTGTGGCAGCTTCAAGCTGTGTGTGCTTCTCAACAACTCCCAGCATACATCTTCAAGTTTCCAAGGTGGAGAAACACCTAGTCTAGACCAGGGGTAGGCAACCTTGGCTCTTTTATGACTCGTGGACTTCAACTCCCAGAATTCCTGAGCCAGCCACGCTGAGGGGAAAGGGAGAGGTTTCCAAGATGAGCCATGCTGGCTCAGGAATTCTGGGCCAGCATGAGGCAAACTTTGGCTCCTTCATGACTTGTGGACTTCGACTCCCAGAATTCCTGAGCCAGCATGAGGGAAACTTTGGCCCCTTCATGACTCGTGGACTTCATCTCCCAGAATTCCTGAGCCAGCTATGCTGAGGGGAAAGGGAGAAGTTTCCAAGCTGAGCCATGCTGGCTCAGGAATTCTGGGAGCTGAAGTCCACGAGTCATAAAAGAGCCAAGGTTGCCTACTCCTGGTCTAGACCAATGCTTCCTAGCCTTTTGTATCTTCTGTCTCACCCATCCTCTCTGTCAAAGAATTGACGTTCCACCAGAATAGAAACCAAGTACCCTTTTTTTTCCTAAGAAGGACATACGTATGTCTACAATCAGTTCATTATTATCTCTATTGTTCAGGGTGAATACATGCTATAGAATACGTTTTATCATGCTCTCCAGGGTTGATGCTACAGCAAGACTTCTTGTCATAAGCGCAAAAGCCGAAACAGAGGAGAATCTGGAGGTCTTGAGTCATGCTTTGTCTAGAGCCAGCAGCCTAACAAGGACCAATTGGTCTGATTGTGATGGAGGTGAAAGTCTCCCTGAGGGTTCTCCCTTTGGATGGAGAAATGCTTTGCCAGTTGAGATGTCCATCTAGATAAGCATGGTTTGCTCTGGGCTGGAACTGGATCCTGTTTCTGGCTTCATAGCTGAGTAGGAGTAGGAATAAAAAGGTTCACGGTGATTAAGAGTAGCATGGGAAGCTCCAGAGAAACCAAAGCCCACTTGATGTACACCAGAGGTCATTTATGAGTCATGGAGACATCATGGGATAACAATGCCACCTTCCTTGACTGCCACTATGATCAGATTGATTAAGGCAGAATACCTAGGCTGACTTCATGGTGATATCTCAAAAGGGTTTACTTTTGTCTAGACTTGATGTATCTTTGGAAAGTTGACACACTGTTGGTTTAATTAAGTCGTGTCTCCTCTGCCTCATAAACTCCTGTAATTATAGGCAGAAGGCGTAAGCAGAATTCATAGTGGACTCAATTGCGGTGTCACTTCAAAATAAACTCACATATTTCAGAGTGTTTTATTTTTCCTTCTTTAGGATGGGAAGGTGATTGTTTGGGATGCCTTCACCACCAATAAGGTGAGTTGCTTTACAACATTAACATGGTGTACAGTCTGAAGGATCCGTTTGATGGGGGAGACGGGAGAAAAAGCGCATCCTATTTTGTCTTTCGTTGCATTGATGCGTAAGGATGAAGACCCCAAATTTTGGCTAGGGCCTAATGATATCCACCAAATTTGTGGCTGGTATTGTGGGAATTGGCTGTGTTTTGCCCTGTGGTCTTTTCTCTAATGTCTCAGTGATTTTTCCAGATCAGAGTCCCTTGTCCAGGAGCAAAGGCTAGGTCAAATGTTGGCTTAGCAGTAGCAAAGAATGCTTTGTATTTCAGGAGCACGCGGTGACAATGCCCTGTACATGGGTGATGGCGTGTGCATATGCTCCATCTGGATGCGCCATTGCATGTGGGTAAGCAGAAGCCTCTTTAACGTAAGGTATTTGAAAACCAATGTTTTGATCGTGACAAATGATGCTATCTCTTCTCTTAAACCGATTGGTTCTCAAATGGACATTTTTTAATATTGGCTGGATTTTAATATTGGTTGTAAGAGAAATGGGTTGGCTGCATGAATATATTAATGCATATAATATTTTTATCTTGTCTCTATGGGCACTATCTGAAAACATCAAAATAACGTATATACCGTAATAGAATGGTAAAAACCCTCTTGAGTAAAATAGCCCAAATAGAAAACAGGTAGAAGAATAAACAGGAAGAGACCCATTACCATTAAGTTTCAAAAGCTTGTCTGAATACAATTATATTCACAATTACATTCAGGCAGACTTCAAAGGAGATCTTGGAAATGAATGGGCCAGATCCACCTCTGGAGATACCGTATACCAGGGCTATCACTTAGAAGATCTGTTTTCTTTTATATTTAGTTACAGTGGTACCTTGGTACTCGTTAATTGTTTTGGGAAGCACAACGAGTACTAAAAATGAGTTCCAAACTAACCATTTGACTTAACCCGTGACCCTTTGTTTCGGCCAGAAAGGGTAGCGAGCAATGAGGCAGCCAAAACCGACAACTTCTAGCTTGCATGTCGAGTACCAAACAAACAACGAGTTCTGGGACAAAATGTTCGCGTCAAAATGCATTGAGTCCCTAATTTGATGACTTTCAGAGCATCAAGTACCAAGGTACCACGGTATTTAGAAGTCACCTTTCCAGCAGTTGACCCTCAAGAGAACTTTCAGCAAATGTAATGCAATGATTCCAGTTAATTAAACAATATTTACAAACAGAGTAGAGGGCTTCTAGAACAGGAATTCTGGGAGTTGAAGTCCACAAGTCTTAAATTTGCCAAGATTGAGGACCCCTGCTCTAGAAGGACCTCCCATGATGTGTCTTCTGAAGACTCCTGGGGAAATGAGATAATGGAGGAGATGACTCTCCATATCTTACATCTCAGGTTGTTCAGGAATTTGAAGTTCCAATCTCTCAACTTTCAATTTAGTCCAGAATAAATTGATAATCCAGGAACTTTGAGGGCTTCAAGGTTGCAGGTCCCATATAACTAGCATGGTTCAGATACACCAGCAAGTTTAAATAGGTCGGTTTTATTACCCAGCCTGAAAAGGGGTGGTCCAGCTGATTATTCAAAATACTGAGCTATATTTTGGAAAAGACTCTCTTGTGCAGTGGAGGGGGGGACTAGGACACTTGCGACCCTGGGCAACTTTCTCAAAGAGATCCTGGGCAGAACACTCTGGTGATGTTTTCAAAAAAGAATTTCCTTCTCTTTTTTTTAATCCTGTTTTTAATCTAGTGGTCTGGATAACAAATGCTCTGTATATCCCCTGACCTTTGAAAAAAACGAGAACATGGCCGCTAAGAAGAAATCTGTCGCTATGCATACTAACTACTTGTCAGCTTGCAGCTTCACTAATTCTGATATGCAGGCAAGTACATCCAACCTGCAGTTTTTTGTCACTTTAAATTGGAAAAAAAAGGTTTTGTAGTTTAGAGTGAGCGTGGTTTTCCTCAATCCCTGTAAAGACACTCGTTTGTTTCCTTTGGGGTAGGGATGGCTAAAATATTCTTTATGCTTCATAGAGAAAAATCAGAGTGGCCCCTTTCTCGTCCCACAGAACTGAAGTCCAACTAATAAGCGCACCTATTAGGCAGCATACTAAAAAGCAGAGACGTCACCCTGCCAACGAAAGTGCATATAGTCCAGGCCATGGTTTTCCCAGTTGCAATGCATGGCTGTGAAAGTTGGACCATAAGAAAGGCTGAGTGCCAAAGAATGGAGGCCTTTGAACTCTGGTGCTGGAGAAGACTCCTGCGAGTCCCCTGGACTGCAAGGCGATCAAACTGGTCAGTCCTAGAAGAGATCAACCCCGACTGCTCCTTAGAAGGCCAGATCCTGAAGTTGAAACTCAAGTACTTTGGCCACCTAATGAGAAGGAAGGACTCAATAGAGAAGGGCCTAATGCAGGAAAAGATCGAGGGCAGTAGAAGAAGGGGACAACAGAGAATGAGGTGGCTGGAGGGAGTCACTGAAGCAGTAAGCATGAACTTAAATGCACTCCAGAAGATGGTAGAGGACAGGAAGGCCTGGAGGAACATTGTCCATGGGGTCGTGATGGGTCGGACACGACTTTGCAGCTAACAACAACATCCTTCCCCCCGCAATAAAAAAATATGGAAATGCAAATTGCAAACTTTGGAAATTCCCCCACTCAATTTGTGGATAGAAAAGTTGGCTGATGGGTTCTCCATAGTTCTTCAGGAAGAGATGTTCTCCAGCAATTTCTCAAGGCAGAATGTTGGAGGTCATTCTCCTACTGGCGAACCCCAGTGAGAAATGTCTGTGGAGATTCTCGGTCATCCAAGTCATGGTTGTCCCAAGGGTGCTTTTGCAAGAGGCAACTGGACTTTGTTTTTGTTTGAAGACGTCTTGCTTCTCATCAGAGGAGCTTCTTCAGTTCTGGACTGAATTCCAGTTGCCTCTTGGAAAAGCACTTTTGAGACGGCCCAGTGAGAAGATCCTCATATTTGTCTTCTCTTGGGACTGAATGAAACCAGGGAAGGCAACGGACCAAGGAAAAAACGATGACAGAAGGACGTTCATATAACCTCCTCCCTCGTTTTCTTGCTAAATTCAGTGATGCTCCACTTAACATTCTCTTTTTCTCAGAAAGACATGCCCAAGGTGCTTTTGGTGCAAAATTGAGCACAGTGTTAGATTTCTTTCAGTGCGCTAGCGAAATATCAGCTTGAGCAGAGTCTATTCTGGGATGTGAGAGGCTTCAGAGGAAATTGCTATTTCCCACTCCGCTGTTTCCAGGAATAAGCCCAAGATGACGGTGCAAGTCTATTGCCATGGAAACCGGTATCACCCATCTACCTGGGGTGCTCTTGGTATATCAAACTGTAGCCTTGAGAGAGAGGCGGCTGGTGGAAGAATTAAAACAAATGCAATGCAGCATCAGGACACTGTAAATAGCATGAATCCCAACCTTACTTTTGGAGGTGTTTTAGGAAGTGGCCTGTAAGCAACGAGGACTCCCTCGTTGGATAAAAGGGCCTCCATTTTTCTAGACGTTGGCCTCTTCAGCAGCAAAATTCCTATATAATGGATGGAATTTGCTCTGATTTGCTACTCCCATTTCAAACAGGAATTGTATCCCATTGCTTCTTAATCAATTGCCAGCATGCAGCCCTTTGCCCCATTACGGCAGATAAAGCTCTTACATATCTGAGTTTCATTTAATCCCAGTGTTGACTGCACAGACGGGGGAACAAAAGACCAAAACACTCTTGTATTTTGTTAACACTGATACAGGTTGCTCTCCGAATTTATGAAGACCTAACCCTTGGTAGGTTTGCCCCCCCCCCCACTCCCTACAGGATTTTCTGATGTATTTTGCCAGGAAATGTAGATAGGGCGGGCTGAAAAAGTCAGCATCGTCCTAAGCATACCGATGCGCTCCAAATCCATTGGCGTTGTCCATTTTTCTCTCTGAATTCATGGAGACCTAACTCTAACCCTAAATGGGGGTTTGTTGCCCAATGGGATTTTCCCATGTATTTTACCAGGAAATGTAGATAGGATACCCTCCTGAGCATACCTGATGGGTTACAGATCCGTTTTGCTCTCTGAGTTCATGGAGACCTGATTCTTCTTTTGAAGGATAATGGAGCTTAAATGGACTCCAGAAGATGGTAGAGGACAGGAAGGCCTGGAGGAACGTTGTTCATGGGGTCGCGATGGGTCGGACACGACTTCGCAACTAACAACAACAACCCTCTCTTAACTCCACTCCCAGGCTCTGCCTTTTATTCCTCTACAGTTGAAGACTAAAGATTTAGTAAATCAATTAATTTAGGACAGTGGTTCTCAGCCTGTGGGTCGGGACCCCATTTGGGGTCGAACGACCATTTCACGGGGGTCACCAAACAACACAGTCCGCCATTTTTTTCCCCCTTTTCCTTAGCTGTGCTACTCCCTTTTATTCTATTGGCTTTTGAAAGCCAATAGAATAGACTCTCTTGAATAGAGTCTAATTCTATTGGCTTTCAAAAGCCAATAGGAATTGTCCAGGCTGTCTCTGCCCTGCTGAGCCCGCCAAAAGTCCCATTCTGCAAACGGTGCTGCACCAGTTGAGTAGTCCTCGACTTACGACCGGTTGAGTAGTCCTCGACTTACAACCGGTTAGGGGTCGCGGCATTAAAGTTGAGAGCCACCGATTTAGGAGATTTACAGTCCTTTCATATGAATCAAAAGACTGTGTGATGGGGTTTGGTGAATCAAGAAGCCAAGGGAATTCGTGATTTGATGCAAGTTACTTGAATGGCCTCTGTTTTTTTTTTCCTTCTCCCCTCCCCCACCCCCCAAAGATCTTGACTGCAAGCGGTGATGGCACCTGTGCCCTCTGGGACGTTGAAAGTGGGCAGCTTCTACAGAGTTTCCACGGACATGGGGCAGATGTCTTGTGCCTGGATCTTGCTCCTTCAGAAACAGGGAACACGTTTGTGTCGGGGGTAAAGTAGGCTTATTTTTTTATGCAGGCTGGGGATCGAAGGGGTCTAGGTTTCACTTAGTGACCACTTTGCTTAACAACTAAGTTCCTGATCCCAATTGTGGTTGCTAAACGAGGAGTCTCCTTACCGATGCCCTTAAAGGCTCGTGAACTGGGCGAGAGCATGAAGCAGATGTTAAGATGCTGTACAAAAAATATTTCCAACAAATAACATCTTTCGGCTGTTGTGCATTTTGTCATCTCAATTTTTTCCTCCTTGGGAATGGCAGCAGAGCGTCTTATTATATGTGCTTTGTTGTTGTTGTTTGTTTAGGGATGTGATAAAAAAGCAATGATCTGGGACATGCGGACCGGGCAGTGCATTCAGTCCTTTGAAACCCATGAGTCGGATATTAATGGTGTCAGGTGACAATCCTATGTTGAAAGGGTGTCTTGGGGCCTATTGACAAGAAAGGCTTTGTGGGTGGAAGGCAGTAGAGGGAGAGGGTGATGGGTTGGGCCTCTTGTGGCATCTGTTGGTCGCTCTACCATCCTCTGGACCCAATATGAAGAACTGTTGGGAAACGCCCAGCCAGGCAAAGAGGAGGGATCAAGCGGGGAAGTAGCCTTGAGTCATTGCACAGTCACAAGGGACATAGGGCTGACCTCTTTTAAGTCCCATAATGGTTTGTTCCCAAGAGAAGGCAAGCAGGCTGGGGAGATTCCTGTACTATGGATAGAACACAATAAAGTAGTCAACTTGAAGCTTTCACCTGGGGATCTGGTTGCTAGCTCCTGACAAGGACTGATCCAAATGATCTCGGTTTGCCGAATGGTGGTGAAAATCTGGATGTGAATCAATACAAGAATCTCCCTTACCCAAACCATGTGGCCAGGGCCTGGTGAGATCAAGGGAAAGTCCAAGGGCTCAGTTGTGTTTTGCAAGGATTCCCGAATATTGCTTCAAAAGTGTGCTGACCTCTTTTTCTTCCTCTTTATGAAGATACTACCCAAGTGGAGACGCTTTTGCCTCTGGCTCAGATGATGCCACGGTATGTAGCATTATTTAATTTTGAGAGACACATGCCTTTCCCATGAATGAAGGCTGGACCTAGATAGAGCCCCAGTGGCTTGTTGGGTGAAGCTTGTGAGTGACTGATTAAGTGCCATGAAGTGACTATCAACTCTTAGATACCATGTGTAAGACCATTTGTTGTCCCTTCAATGTGGGTTGAGAAGAGATGTTTGGTGATGTTCAGAGAAATAACTGGTGGTTTGTCTGGGATGTTTGGTCGACTGGAATCCACACACATCCCGATGAAAGATCTAAAAGATCTCAAGAGTCGGGAGGGCACAGATGGGTTCCTATCAAACCACACATTCTCATTAGCTGTGTATTACCCATCATTGCCAGTAGAGAAGAGAAGAACTAGTAGCCAGTCCTGTAAATAGCGTTAAGACTCCCAATTCCTATCAACCTCAACTAAGCCAGCCAGTAGTTGGGAAAGATGAGAGTGCAAATTCCAGATCCTTTGAAGGACTTGAGATCTCATGTCTCTGCCTGACACCCAGTTCTTAGGTCAATGAATGTTCTTCTAAAAGTTTCTCATTAGCAGTCCATGGATCTATAAGATCTAGACCTAAGGAAGGACAGTCTTTGACTTGCAGATGTTGCTCTTACAACTTCCAGCATCCCCTTCTTACACTGGCTAAGACTTCTGGGAATTTAGTTCAAGATACAATGCATATTGTTATTTTCTTGGCCAGCTTACTTAAGGCATACCAAATGTCTCTATCTCTGTCCTTGTTGAACTCAACCAGGAACACCTGAGTTTAAGATTGCTTCTTAGCCGTGAAATTTCTCCAGATCTTTTTATCCTCACTGCTCTTGCAGGGTTAACAAGGAGTAATCCATGCATATTTTGCCCTGGACTCCTGGAGGAAGCGAGACAAATCAATAAGCCAAAGAAATGGAATTTATGTGGGAGGAAAAAAAATTACAGTGAGGTAGAAGAAGGATGGAATGTTATTGGAAGCTCATTTTGAATGTTATTTATTGGTTTGTTTCGGACATCCCGCCCCCATCTTTCCATGCCAAAAGATTATTCCAAGGTGGCGTAAAAATGCTGTTGCAAACAAAAATAAGCTAAAATAATAATCTCCCAAAGCAGCCAAGAAATCTTTAGTGAATGTGACTGAGGCAGTTGAATAGGGAAAAGGGGCTTTTGAAATAAATGAATAGGGAAAAGGGGCTTTTGAAATAAATGCTTTCTAAAAGGAGATGTATTTTCTTGGGAAGCCACGTCATAATTTACCTGGTCAACCAAAAAGGTCAAGATGAGCTTTGATAAGGCAATCCATTAGTTGAGGTACCAAATTCTAGGTTTTCACAGCCAAGAATGTGCTTCCAATTTCTCTTGGGCAACTTCCAGATGTGTGGCCTTCCGTTCCCAGAATTCCTTGGGCAGCATAGCCATACATGAGAATTCTGGAGGTTGAGATCCCAACAGCTTGAAGAAAGACAGCTGAGGGAAGGTGATCCTGGAATGATCAAAGAAGCTCATGGAATCCATGGGAGTTGAAACACAGTACATCTGGGCAACATTAAAGTAATTTATCGGTGAACAGGGCACAGTATTCAGGTTTATGTAGGTTTGCTGGCATAGCTAAGATGAGCGGCGTGTTGGCTTAGTGGCGAAGACGGTCACTTCCTACTCAGAAGGTTGAGAGTTCAGTCCTAGATAGCGGCAGATGTTTTTCTCCTAGGGTACAAAGAAAATATTTCCTGTTGCATACTCCACGTGGTGTCAGGAAGAGCCTCAGGCCAGTAAGCGCTCAGCTCCATCCAGTTGCCTTGAATTTACCCCTAATTATGGCATTACAGGGCCGTACAGGAGTTTTACTGGCATGGCCAAAATCTTGTGTACGATCATATCATATTTAAAAATGCTCTAGATAATGAGTTTTCTTTTTTTCTTCCCTTCTTCTTGAGTGCCGTTTATATGACCTCCGAGCGGACAGAGAGGTGGCTATTTATTCCAAAGAAAGCATCATCTTTGGGGCGTCCAATGTGGATTTTTCTCTTAGCGGTGAGATGTGAATCCTGATGTATTTTCTTTGCTCACGGAACTAACCAGGGGAAGAATTAAGGGTGGTCTTCCTCCAGTTTAGTTTGGCATAGATAACAGCAAAGCAGTTCCATTCGGAGAAGTTAAACCTTTCCAGACCTTAAGACTTAAAACAGTTGCTCCTGGAGTTTGTCCTTCAACCCTAGGTGTGTTTTGGCTTTCTCAGTTAGGAAAAAACGTACGTGAAGTTAACTAAAGGTGTAGCATTTTCTTGATTTGAATTTTAATTGCTCAAGGTGGAATGTCCAGTGAACTCACTCAGACAGGTGAGTGGGAAGATGTTTATTACACTGAGGTAAAAATCACAAAGTCATAAGATGGAAAAGTTGAGCTGAGAATTATATCTTTGTTGTGCTGGCTGAAGATCAATTTTTCCTTTAGAATTTTCACTGGTTTTCTTCTACTTATGAATCTGTTTGGAAACTTTGATTGATTGATTGATTGTGTCACCGGCATAATGCTGTGATTCAGAATAACAGCATAACAGAGTTGGAAGAGACCTTGGAGGTCATCTAGTCCAACCCCCTGCTCAGGAAGGAAACCCTATACCAGTGATGGCGAACCTTTTAGAGACTGAGTGCCCAAACTGCAACCCAAAACCCACTTATGCATCGTCGAGTGCCGGGCAGGTGTGGCCCATTGGGTGGGTATGGCTGCGGTGGTACGGCCGACTGGGTGGGATTAAAAAATTTAGTCAATCAGTTCCAACTTTGCAAGATCTTTTTTCTTCTGCGAGAAGTTGAAATTGACTGATTGACTTTTTTTTTTTTGCACATGGCAGCGGAGGCCTAAAGTAAAAAGGTTTTATAAAACTCAGCTGAAGGCCAGGACTGGGGCAACGGCGCCTGTGCCCACAGAGAGGGCTCTGAGTGCCGCCTCTGGCACCCGTGCCATAGGTTCGCCACCACTGCCCTATACCATTTCAGACAAATGGCTGTTCAGTCTCTTCTTAAAAACCTCCAGTGTTGGAGCATCCACAACTTCTGAAGGCAAGCTGTTCCACTGGTTAATTGTTCTAGCTGTCAGGAAATTTCTCCTTAGTTCTAGGTTGCTTCTCTCCTAGATTACTTTCATCCATTGCTTCTTGTCCTGCCTTCAGTTGTTTTGGAGAATAGGATGTCCCCCCCCCTTCTTCTTTGTGGCAGCCCCCCCAGATATTGGAACATTGCATATTGGAACCTGACCTGACCAGCAGGATTTTGTCCACAGGACGCTTATTATTTGCGGGCTACAACGACTACACCATAAATGTTTGGGATGTTCTGAAAGGATCGCGCGTCGCCATTTTGTTCGGTCACGAGAACCGCGTTAGCACTTTGAGGGTTTCGCCCGACGGGACTGCGTTTTGTTCTGGATCGTGGGATCACACTCTGAGGGTAAGGATGTTGTCTTCAATGGTTCCTTTTTTTCTTTAAATCCAAAGGAGAATCCCAGGAACGAAGCTAACCATTGTTTGATGTTTTTCTCCACAGATCTGGGCTTAAATAGCAGGGCGGTTTCCCAACATGTATTCATATAGGCATCATAGGATCACCCCACGGAACATCAATTTAATGGGGGGGGGAGAGGGTGAAATCTACCGCAAAGACTCTATCACAACCTTAAAGGGATGGTGAAAAGTTGGAAGAAGACACCTTGTTAGGCTTAATTGCACAGCTGCCCAACTGAAAGTTACTTCTAGATCAGTGTTTCTCAACCTTGACAATTTTAAGGCATGTGGACTTCAACTCCCAGAATTCCACAGCCAGCATTGCTGGCTGTGGAATTCTGGGAGTTGAAGTCCACATGCCTTAAAATTGTCAAGGTTGAGAAACACTGTTCTAGATAGACAAATAAAAACATACCTTTATCATACACAGGGGCGGTGGGCGGGAGAGTTTACGTGTTTATAATCAGAACATGTTTTTAATTCTGTTTCTGAAACTTACCTTTTTTCCCTTTAGATAGAGATGAAACATTCTAAAGCGAGACTTTGGGGGGAAATCATAACTGATTAAGGGGACTTTAGCATTTTAAATCACAGCGTACGTGTCGTGTTTGCATGAAATGGTGTTCTTTTCTAAAGTCGACTTGGAATTAAATTAGAAACCAGTGTAGGAGATTGGTTGCTGTTTTGCTTTTGTTTTGTTTTTTTAAACCAGGGTATCTGAGGGTTTGTTTGCACATTCCATAATAGAAGCAGGAAGAGGAAGCAATTCTCTTCCGTTGCTCTTCAAGGTCTCAGGTGACAGAGAGAGACAGTGCTGTGCAATGGGTAGGAGGTTGCCCCAGGGGGTGGGGGGGATGGATCTGAAGTCCCCACTCAGCCATGAAGCATACTGGGTGCCCGTGGCCTCAGTCACTATCTCTCAGCCTAGCCTACCTCATAAGGTTGTTTTGTGGGAGGAAAAAAAAAACCAAGGTGCAGAGGACAAATTACACTGCCCTGATCATCTTGGGGTAAATTCGGGATAGAAACGGAGGCCGTAAAATGAATAGGAGTGAGTGCAAAGCTCTTTGGGTGAGATCTGGTTGGGTGACAGGACATCTCCTGGTTAGTTGAGACCCAGCCTAAAAGATTGTGGGGAACAGATAACCTGGTGCAGGGGTCCCCAATCCCCGGTCCGTGGACCAGTACGAGGCCATACCACCTCGGCAACCTTAAGACTTGTTTCTGGTTTTCCAGAATTCCCCAGCTAGCAACATTTAAGACTTGTGGACTTCAACTCCCAGAATTCCTGAGCCAAGCTACTTTTAAGAGCTGTGGACTTCAACTCCCAGAATTCCCCAGCCAGGGAATTCTGGGAGTTGAAACCCACAAGTCTTAAAAGTTGCCGCGGTTGAACACCCCTGCCTTAAATGGGCCTTCTGAAATCACATCACTAAAATATAGGGGAAAGGAAACATCCCCTATTTTTCTTTTTTAACCAAAAGCAGCCCAATGTAGATGATCAAGCTATTTCTCTTTGCCTCTTTTCTCTAACAAAAAAAAAATATATTTTTTTTATTAAATGCAACGGGCTGTTTTTAAAGTTGAGTTTGTGGCCTTCGGCTGGCAAATTTAAACTGGAAAACTTCTCAAAGGCAGCACATATAGAAGTTATTGTGATTTATTATTTAGAAAGACAGATTCACAAAGGTAGCTTCACGGGACTCCTCTGAATCCATATACACAGGCCTAGAGTTTAAAGGAAGAGGTGTAAATATTTCTAAGTGATTCCATGTTTCTAGGCACTGACCTTCTGTCATTCCTGGAAACAGTTTGACAAATCACTGCCCTGCACTTTCCGCTTGGAGAACAGATCGGGGTCCTTCTTATAACGTGGGCAGCCATAATTTTGCTCCATGTCCAACAGGGTGCTCTGTAGAAATTGCCACTGTTAGCTTGTGATGAAATGACAGTCTGACACTCTGAACACTTTGATGCAGTATTTATTGGTGAGATGTTTTTGAGTTTTGAATGGAACATGTGGTGTTGATTAACTTATGAATGGCTGCACTATAATAAATTGTATTTTACATACCGAGGATTGTTGGCTCTGGATTGTCTTTCTGAATTACAAGCAGGACTGTGTTTGTTTCATTATGTTACATGTTTTGGAATCTCATGCCAGACAATCTGGTCAACTAGCAGGGTCAAGTCACTGCTATCTCCTTATATTTATTCATTCATTTAGGTCAGGGGTAGGCAAGCTTGGCTCTTTTATGACTCGTGGACTTCAACTTCCTGGCTGGCTCAGGAATTCTGGGAGCTGAAGTCCACGAGTCATAAAAGAGCCAAGGTTGCCTACTCAATTTAGGTATATCCTGCCTTTATTATTTTCACAAATAAGGTGATGAACATATCCAGCACTATTCCTCCTATTTTCCCCACAACAGCCCTGTGAGGTGACATTAATGATGGCAATGTGGTCCTAATTGCAGTCTTTAGTCAAGGACTACCTGTATGTATTACTTTTGAAACACAGTTCAAGAAAGAGGCATCGGACACTGCCTCATTGTCCCCAACACAACTGATGCAGAACCCCTGGATGCAACCCCCTGCAGAATGAATTCTCAAGCTGGAATTTTCTGCTCCCGGAGTTTATCAGAAATCGAGGCAGCGGCTCTTAAGAAGTTGTTTTGGCATAGATGGTTTTAACAATATCTGCAATGTTTTATTTACAATGGATATTGCTTGCCAATCCCCTTTTGGCAGGATCGTTGTTCTGAAAAGTGGGCTGTCTGTCATTTTGAGACCTGGTAGCAGAGCAAAGCATCCCCGCCGTGGAACCAAGTAGCTTATTGTTTCGTACATGCGAACGACACCATGATGCACAAACAAAAAGGCTGGGCTTGCTGTTGTGAAGATGCTTCCATCTGCCTTGGCTGTGGACGGTGCCGTGCGAATTAGTTCGGTGGCTGCATGGTGGATCTTGGTATTGTCTACCCTAAGATGGTTAAGGTAATGAAGATGATTAAGGGGCTAGAGACAAAAACACAGGAAGAACAGTTGCAGGAATTGGGCATGGCCAATCTAGAGAAGGAGGACTAGGGGTGACATGATCGCAGTCTTCCAATATCTCAGGGGCTGCCACAAAGAAGCGGGAGTCAAGTTATTCTCCAAAGCACCAGAAGGCAAGACGAGAAACAACGGATGGAAAATTAATCAAGGAGAGAAGCAACCTGGAATTAAGAAGAAACTTCCTAACGGGGGACAATTAACCAGTGGAACAGCTGGCCTCCAGAACTTGTGGATGCTTTGTCACTGGAGGTTTTTAAGAAGAGACTGGACAGCCACCTCTCTGAAATGGTATAAGGTCTCCTGCTTGAGCAGGGGGTTGGACTAGATGACCTCCAAGGTCCCTTCCAGCTCTGTTCTGATTGTACTATTGATTGTAGCACTTGGAGACTCAACTCTCCACATTGAGATCCTTTTGAAGGAAAGCAAGATGTCAAGGAGATAGATGGCCCTCTCCCTTTTTTTGCAAAAGGGAGGATTCTTAGGTCATTCCCCTGTGGGTGACTTACAACATCTTTGAGATTCACCCAAGCATCGCTATGCCAGCTTAAGTGTAACAAGGAGAGGCTTTATCACTTCAGCAATGGCTGGGTGATGTTACCGAGAAGGTTGCTATAAATCACCTGTAGGGAACTGGCCTTCAGACCAAGAAATACTGGAGAATCAATATCGGAGCAGATGGCCTCTCAGCAGAAAATTTTCTCTCTGGCTTAAAGGAGGAAATACATTCCGCCCAGTGGGATATCTTCCTAGGACACAGCAGCTTGACAGAGGCTATTTGGAATAAACATGAGATGATGAAGATAGAAAATGTCAGGCGGCTTTTGCTTTTGTTTTTAACTTGGGTTTTGGAAGTCAGGGGGGGGGGCTGCTTCCGTGCAAAGCAGATCTCTCCAATAGCTTAATGGAGCTATTTTGCACCTTTGATTACATCTTCTCCCTTAACGCAGCTGAAATGTGAATTTGAGAAGGATTCGCAGCCAAGCAGTGGACCGGATAGCCCCAATTTCATCACTGCAGCCCCCAAATCCCAGGACAGAAGACTGGATGCAACCCCCCCCATCACCATCAAACCCTTCCCAAGGGTATGAATAACCGAAAAACAAAGGAGAAAACTGAGCAATTTTTCACATCTTTGCATCGCAGCATCTGTCGTCCTTCAAGCCAGATGCAAGTTAAGGCGTTTTATTATAAATCATCATTTATTGTAAATTATAAATGGGTGTTTGAATACCAGCTTTTCCCATTCTCTCCCCTCTCCCGTCCTTTTCCTTCAACCCAGCAATTTATTTCAATGCTGAAATACAAGGAACAGCTTCGGCTTTCATTATACGTGTTGACATTGCTGATGAAAAGTTGCAGGGGGGGGAAACCTGGGGGGGGGGAGAAAGGATCCATCTACCAAGAGCTCCGATTGAAAAAAAGAAAAAGAAAGAAAAAAACCAAGCCATCCTGAAAATGCTGACTTTGGAGAAAGATGCCAGAAGGGGGTTAAAAAAAAAAACGGGTTCGCTTTCCAAATCTTTTCATTTTTTTCAAAGGCTTCCAAACCGTCCCTTGAAATCTAAAACCTTCCAAAACTTTGTACAAATATGGTCATACATTTTTTTTAAAAAAAGCAGACAACAAAATTGTGGCATGAAAAAAAAATAGGTGTTCAAATATCAAAAACCAGAAGATCAAATTGCTGGCCCTTATTTGCTTTCCATGACTTGATGTACAATGAAACTAGGATTTCTGAAAAAAGAAAAGAGAAAAAAAAACCCTTGGAAATATTATGCGTCGTAGTTTCACTATCAGTTCAGTTGTTTGACTAACAAAATACCAACCTCTTAAAACCGATAGCTGATAATATGTGTGCAAGAGACCCTTAAGTGCTTTCCATCTACATTTATGTGTCCTAGATTTATTAGAACTGAACTGCAGCTTAATATTTCTGATAGATCAGTAGATGAGCCTTATAAACTGCCATAATAACTGAGAATTTGGGAGCTGTAATCTTAAAACATACCAGAAAAGATGAAAAAAATAATAATCCAAGAAGCCCAAACTGTGTTTAAAAATGGTGATGTCCACAAACTCTTGACTTTGGAGGTAGCCATACAGTAAATTAATTCAGCTCACTGGATTAATGTCTGTATAGCTACATAGGCTTCAATCAAACAAATATTACGGCTATTAGACCAGCAGAGGTAGGGCTTCAATTAATCTTAACTGGGACTGAAATTAACACAATTAGCGTCTGCACAACCTGTTGGGTCCACTGTGGCCTCTGCTCACCTAAAAGGTTATGCCAAAACAACCACATCACGGCTAGAAATAATGGCAGGATTGTCACAAACGTCTATGCTGAAATGGTCTTGTTTCTGCAGCCTGTGTCATTTGATCCCTGAATTCACCCATGTTCTGGTTTGCAGAATGCATCGGCCCATGTTATCCAGAGCAGCAAGACCTTGCCAACATGCTAAGCCACTAAATGGACACGTGCACGTATGTTAAGCAAGGGATGTGCAAGGGAAGACAGCAAGTCATTACGTGCCTCACGATATCAGCATGCAAATGTTTGTGCCATGTCATGGCATCACGTCAGGAGGCACATGCCATTGTGACATCATTGTGGCTTGCTACAAACCCTTATGCAACCAAGATTAAAACTGGGGATCCTTGATGCTCTCTGATTTTGGGTTTAATGGTCTTGTTTTCCACTAAATCAGTGGTTCTCAACCTGTGGGTCGGGACCCCATTTGGGGTCGAACGACCATTTCACAGGGGTCGCCAAACAACACAGTCTGCCATTTTTTCCCCCTTTTCCTTAGCTACTCCCTTTTATTCTATTGGCTTTTGAAAGCCAATAGAATAGACTCTCTTGAATAGAGTCTTAATTCTACTGGCTTTCAAAAGCCAATAGGAATTGTCCAGGCTGTCTCTGCCCTGCTGAGCCCACCAAAAATCCCATTCTGCAAATGGTGCTGCACCAGTTGAGTAGTCCTCGACTTACAACTGGTTGAGTAGTCCTCAACTTACGACCAGTTGGGAGTCACGGCATTAAAAAGGTTGAGAACCACTGCACTAAATGGTCCATTCAAACAAGGCTTTATTGGTAAGCATAGTTTTGAGAGGTCGTTGGTGTTCTCTGGTGTTTTCTTGCAGATGTTTCATGACCCAAACTTGGTGACAACATCTGCACTGATGATATTCTCTAGTTGGGTAGCGAAACATCTACAAGAAAGCAAGCAAGCTCTGAGAACACCAAGGACCCCTCATTTCAACTCTGAGCTATAAATCTTCTCCTTTAAGGTTAAAATTAACCTAATGTAGTATGTTACATGGCTACAGCCACTCGTTTGAGAAGTAACTGGGTTTACTAAGCTGTGGATGACAAATTAAGGTTGTTTTGGTGTGGTGTGTGGAACAAACCAGCTATCTTTGGTTTACTTCACTGCAGTCCTAGGCCAGAACCCAACCATCTTCAGGAAAGCAGAACAATTTGTGGTGACAGACCGTGGTGCAAAAAATTATGAAGCTAAAAAGTTTTAGGGTTTTTCCAGATAGGTTTATAGTAATGGGATATCTGAACTGCTCTTTATTTATTCTTTTCTGGCTTTTTGTCCTCCTCTAGCTGAGGGGGGCAATTGAGCTGACAGCAGTGAGTTTTAGCACAACCAACAAAACAAATCCAGTTTCCCCTTCTCCTCTTGGAGAAGTCAAATTCCCCTAGAAGTCAAATTACCTGTATTGATTTATTGGCTAGCTTTTCATAACCCTTGATCAACAAAGAGCGATTTTTTTTCCTCTTTATTTAGGACCCTCCCCCCTCCATGGATACGAATAAAGCAAAAAGCAAAATAAAAAGATAACACAAACACACCCACCCACCCACCCAAATGAAACCTAAATTGTATAAGGAAGACTTCAAATGTGGACTTATTCTCCCGTCTCCAGGATGATCAGAAATACTACTCCAGCCTGAACACTCTGCAGAGATACAGCTTATTTGGTTTGAGCCAATTCTGTTGTGTGAATCCCATCATTGTGGTTTAACGTAATGTGTGAATGTCATCAACTGTGGCTTATGCAAAAATCACGGTTAAGCAATTTACGGAGTAGGTATTCCAGCAGGAGATCAAGGTGGCTGAAGGATCCAGAAACCAAACTCTTTTAAGATAAAATATTTACTCAGTGAGTTTACTGTGCCAATGAAAAGAGTGAGGAGAGCTATTATGGGGGCATTCGGATATCACAGGTTGTCACACAACAGTGGACCATCTCAGTTGGCCCAGAAGGACCAGGCTTGTAGCCTTAGGAGGAATCGACAGGAAGTTCTCGATCCATGCAGCTTAATACGGACTCGGGAAGAAATTCCTGATTATCTCAGCTAATGGCCAGTGGAACAGCCTGCCACACGAAGCGGTGAAGTCTCCTTCACTGCTTATCCTGGGTGGATAATGATCTGTGAGCATGACCCATAAGAAATCTCAATGGGGTTTTGTGATAAAAGCACCCTTTACAGATCCTTCTTAGCCATCCTCGGCAATCCATTCAGCAAGGCTGTGCCTTGGAAACACGGGTTAACTTGCACCAGGCTTTACCGATTAACCGACTTCTCACTGCACCAAGACCCCAAATGCGGACTGCAGCTCACGTTTCCTTAACTCCAGGCTCCCCTTGCGGGCTGCAACCCCTCCTTCCACCCAGCCCAAATGCGGCAGCTGATGCAGAGAGCAGGGGTTTCCAAAAGGAAAAAAAAAAAAGACACCCCCCTCCCCATTTCCTGCTCAAATAAACCCCAGACCAAAATAGAACCACCCGGACAACAACACCCCCCCCCTCCCGCCACAAACCCAGTTTTCAACAAAATGACTTTACCCATTTAATACACACCTTATCATGCGAGCTATAGAAAGGGGGGGGGGACTTCGATTGCATTATATTTTAAACTAAAAAAAAAACAACAACCCAGAAATCCAGACAGGGATAGAATGAAAGAGAGAGAGAGGGAGGGAGGAAAGAAGGGAGGAAGAGAGAGAGTGGAAAGAGGGAGGGAGAGAAGAAAGAAATAAGGAAATGAGAGAGGAAAGAAAAAGGGAGGGAGGAAGAAAGGAAAGGAGGGAGGGAGAGAAGAAGGAAAGGAAATGAGAGGAAGGAGGGAGCGAGGAAGAAAGGAAAGAAGAAGGGAGGGAGAGAAGAAAAGAAATGAGAGGGGGAAAAGGAGGAAGAAAGGAGAGAAGAAGGAAAGGAAATGAGAGGAAGGAGGGAGAGAGGCAGAAAGAAGAAAAAGAAGGAGAAGAAAGAGGAAAGAAGGAGGGAGAGAAGAAAGAAGGAAAGGAAATGAGGAAGGAGAGGGAGGAAGAAAAGAAGGAGGGAAGGAGAGAAGAAAGAAGGAAAGGAAAGAAAATGAGAAGAAAGAAAGAGAGGGAGGAAGAAAGAGAGAAGAAAGAAGAAAGAAAAGGAGAGAAGAAGGAAAGGAAATGAGAGGAAGGAGAGAGGGAGGAAGAAAGGAAAGCAGAGAAGAAAGAAGGAAAGGAAATGAGAGGAAAGAAAGGGAGGAAGAAAGAGAGAGAAAAGAAGGGAGAGAAGAAAGAAAGAAGGAGAGAAGAAGGAAAGGAAATGAAGGAGAGAGGGAGGAAGAAAGAAAAGGAGGGAAACAGAAGAAAGAAAGAAGGAAAGGAAATGAGAGGAAAGAAAAAGGGAGGGAGGAAGAAAGAAAGAGAGAGAGGAAAGAAGGAGGGAGAGAGAAGAAAGAAAGAAAGGAGAGGAGAGGAAAAGAAAGAGATCTGGCTTGGAAAAAGAAAGAAAGGAAGAAAGAAAGAAAAAAAAAAAGCCGCAGCGCAACCGGGCTGCAGAGCGCGCGTGAGAACGCAGCCAAGCGCGTGGGCTGCTCTCTCCTCCTCCTCCCCCCCCCGCTGCAGTTCCCCCCTCCTCCGGCGAGAGGCGGCGAGGCACTGCAGCGCCTGGCCGGGGAGGCGGAGCCGCCGAAGCCGGCCGACACGTGAGCAGACGGGGGCGGAGGCGGCTTCTTAGGCAGCGGCGGGCGCCGGTACTGGGCCTTGTTGGTCGCCGCCGCCGCCGCTGCCGCCGCCTCGCCCTCCGCGCGCTTCTCCGCCATCGCCCCGAAGCGCTCGCCGCCGCCGCCGCCGCCCGGGAGGCGGGCAGGAGAGGAGGGCGCCATGCCGGGCGCGCTGCGGGAGGAGACGGCGCAGCTGCTGGGCGACTACCTGCAGCACCGGCTGGGGGCCGCGCCGCCGCTGCCGCCGCCGAGCCGCACGGCCGAGACGCTGCGCCGGGTGGCGGACGAGCTGGAGAGCCGCGAGCGCCTCTTCTTCCGCAACGCCTGCAGCGCGGCCGCCCTGCCGGAGCCGGGCGAGGCGGCCGCCTTGCTGGGCCGGGTGGCCACGCAGATGGAAGCCGAGGGCGGCCTCAACTGGGGCCGGGTGGTGGCGCTGGTCGTGTTCGCCGGCAACCTGGCGGCGGCGCTGGCCGAGCGGGGGGCTCCGGACCACAGCGGCGCGCTGGTCGAGGCGCTGGCCGCCTACCTGGCCGAGGAGCGGCGGGACTGGCTGGAGGCGCACGGCGGCTGGGTAAGCGCGTCGCCCGCACCGCCAGCCGGCTCGGGCCGGCAGCGGCGGCGGCTCCTCCCGCGGGGCCCCCTCGCCAAGCCTCCCCGGCGCCTCCTGCTTGCCCGCGCCGGCGGTGGGCAGCCCCGGGCTGCGATGCCTTCTCCTCCGCTCGCCGGAGCTGCGGCGGCGGCCGCCCCCTCCTCCTCCTCCGCCCGCCGCCCCCTCCCCGAGTCTGGCTGCAGCGGCGCGGCGCTTGCCGGATGACCTTGGCGCAGAGGCTTCGCCGGCTGCTTCGGAGGCGCGCTGGGTCGCCGGCCGCGGAGGCTCCCCGCCCGGCGATGTGCTGAGCTGGCGCCCCCCTCCGCCGCCTCCTCCTCCTCCTCCTCGCCATCGCCCCCTCCCTCCCCAGCCCCGATGCGGAGCCCAGAATTGCAGGGGAAGAAGCGGGAGGGCGAGGAAGGGGGGAGCGAGGGAGGGTTGACTGACGGCTGCTTGCAGCGCGGAGGCCCGGCTGCTTTTTTTTTCCCATATAAGGGAAGCAGCCGCGGACAAACCGTGAGAAGTTGCCTTAGAAAGCGCTTTTCTTGGAATCTGGGATCGGCCTCCCCTCCTCCCGCTTCTCCTTCCCTCCCTCCCCTGCCTGTGTGTGCCCCCCCCCCGCCAATATAGCTGGTTTCTTTTTCAATTCTTGCTACGGGCGCCCGCTTTGAGCCGCATTATTTATGCGGCGCGCATACTGCAAAAAAGTGAGCTTTGCCTTCAGGTTCTGGAGGCTGGGCTGGGGGTTTTTTTGGGGGTGGGGGGGGGCTGCTTTCTGGGACTGAGCTGTGCCCCGCAGGCTGGCAGCTGATGCCCCCACCGCCTGTCCTTGAAGCAGCCTTGCCAAAGAAAACCTGCAAAGGCTGAAGGGCTTCAGAGGAAGGAGCCCCTGGGGAAAAAAAAAAAGCCTGCAGAGTTGCCCCCCCCCTTTGCTCAGTTTGCCCCCTCCCAACCGATTTCTAAAGTCGTCTTTCAGAAGGCCACCCAGATCTGCCCAGAATGTGGAATTAGGTCAAGGTTTCTTTGCCTTTTCTCTTGGGGAGGTGTCTTTCAGCTTAAGGAAGCCCCCTACCCACCCACCCACCCACCCCCGGCACACCCCACATTTTTGCGCAATTTTGCACTACTCTGGTATGGCTTTCCCATATTGTGTAAGTCATGTGATTCCTTTGCATCTGGCTTCAGCGCATTCCAGCTGTTGTGGTCTTAACTGTGTGGTCTGATGTGCCTTTGGAAACCAGCCTGCTAAGACCTGGTTAGATCGGAGTTAAGAAAACCTGGCTTAACGCAATGAGTGAAGCTGGCCTCTGTTGCTTTTGTCTGGATGGACAGGGTCTTGTGAACCATCCTTCTGAAATTGGGACTAGCATGAAGCAGGACAGTTCTCAGGGCTGGCCAGGTAGAGGCCGCACCTGGATGTCTTCTTCCAAGTGTAGATTGCTTGCCAACAGACTTCTACTTTGTCCAGCATTTCAAAATATTTACTTTACCGAGGAATAGGTAGGTTTCCTGTGAATTTTAGTTCACAGCCAGGTAGTAAGACATCTGTTTAGTTTTAGGCTAGTCCAGCCTGGGGGGGGGGGAAGAGAGGAACAGATGGTATTCTTCAGACTAGGAACCTTGAGATTAGAATCATGTATCTCATGAAGGAAGGTAGTGATGAACCATGGTTTGGAGGGGGAAAAAAGCCTCACTGAGCTTGTGTAGTAACATGTTAAACTGTGAAACAATGGTTTACAAGCCCCCGGCTGGATATGCAAATATATTATGTCAAAACTGCGCAAGTCACTTGATGGCTTAGCACGGTGTGTGAATTTGAGCCAGCGTACAGTTAAATAGAAGGAAGGTGGGTATGTAATCCCAGAGTTTGGAAGCTCGCACCATGGCAACTATGGGTGTGCATGCATTTCTGCATCAGATGATTGTAGCTGTGGTGTCCTAGACCTGACCATTGAACCAAAGAGCATTGTCCTCTGCTGGAGACAGGCTCGTATATAATCAACGTCATTGGGAAGAAGTCTCCTTGAAACTGCAGACAGAAAATGCAACTGATATACTTTATGTAGAATTTGCAGGTCTCCATTTGATTGGCATTTTTTTTTTTTTAGCCTAAACTAGATGGCATCTGGAACTCTTGAGTTCTGTCTAGCAAATGGATTCTTTCTCTAATGGCACTGATAGAAATATAGTTTTTTTTGCCCGGTACGTTGGAAGAATGAAAGCTCTGTTGTTCTGTTTGTTTATGCAGAAGAAAGTGCTCCCTAAGACTTCTGCAGATTTTCGCAGCCAAAATTTTGGGAAGGGGGGGAAAACATTAATGAAGACCTTCAATCTGGGTTACAAGTCTTGCTTTCAGCCTTCCGTGGTGGTTTGGTTCATCCTCTGGACCGGCTCTCAAGTTTTAGATCAGTGTTTCTCAACCTTGACGATTTTAAGGCATGTGGACTTCAACTCCCAGAATTCCACAGCCAGCATTGCTGGCTGTGGAATTCTGGGAGTTGAAGTCCATATGCCTTAAAATCGTCAAGGTTGAGAAACACTGTTTTAGATAGACCAGTGGTTCTCAACCTGTGAGTCGGGACCCCATTTGGGGTCGAAGGACCATTTCACGGGGGTCGCCAAACAACGCAGTCCGCCATTTTTTCCCCCTTTTCCTTAGCTGTGCTACTCCCTTTTATTCTATTGGCTTTTGAAAGCCAATAGAATAGACTCTCTTGAATAGAGTCTAATTCTATTGGCTTTCAAAAGCCAATAGGAATTGTCCAGGCTGTCTCTGCCCTGCTGAGCCTGCCAAAAGTCCCATTCTGCAAACGGTGCTGCACCAGTTGAGTAGTCCTCGACTTATGACCGGTTGAGTAGTCCTCGACTTACAACCGGTTGGGGGTCGCGGCATTAAAAAGGTTGAGAACCACTGAGATAGACCAACAACTGATCCTTACCAAAATACAGCAAAAATGGAGGACATGGCGGGAGTAGTAGTAATGTTGCTACCTAGAAAAGTGTGGCTGAATCAAGAGGATGTTTGCTTATGTTTGTATCTATGAAGATAAAGATTTATCTTCTTGAATAAAGGGCATCTCCAAAGCCTTAGGATTACAGTTGTGTTTCCAATGTAGTCTGCTTTTTGAGGGGTCCTTGGTGCTATCTGAGCTTGGTTGTTTTCTTGCAGACATTTCATTACCCAGCTAGGTAACATCATCAGGGCTAGAAGGGAGTGGGGGTTTGCGCTAACCCTTCTAGCACTGATGATGTTACCTAATTGGGTAATCAAACATCTGCAAGAAAACAACCAGGCTGAGAGAGCCCTCATTTCAACCCTTTATAGATAATCTGCTTTTTCTCCAAAAGGTAGACATAAAGGGATCTGTCGCCAGCTTCTGTTTTATTATGAAACAATTCTCTGAAATAGACTAAGACTAGGCAGATAGAGACTGACCCAAACTTTCCAAGATAACCACATGATGGTGCATGCCTTGGACATGGAAAGAAGAAGTGGGGTACTTCCAAGTCAAGTCAACATCTAGCGTCACTAAGCTCCACCTTCCATTAGCTAATGTCTGCTTGGCTTTGCTGCTTTCAGGTGGTGGGAATCATTAACCTCTGCAGAGTGTGGTGGGCTTTCCATTTCAGATATAGGATTATGGTGCAATGGCCGTTAACCCAGATGGCTTGGAAAGGGGTTGGCCAAGTGCATGGAGAAGGCCGCCCATGGCTACTCATTGCAAGTATACATTAAATCCAGTCTCAGAGGAGAACATATATGAGTCCCAGCTAAAGAGGAACAGGAGGCTTCATACCAGTTCTGCTTCTGAACTCTCTGAAGATCGTGATTGGCTACCATGGGAGACTAGTTCCTCCAGTCTAATCCAGTAGAGTTGGACTCAAGTTTCTGCTGAGTTCTCATGAACTTCCCATGAACCCTGCAGAGCCTGTCAAGTTCAACCAAGGAGATGTCTTCATGTCATCTGTACGATTTCGAACATATTATTCATAACAGACTGAGGCAAACAGGAATAGCAAGCAGTTCTGGTAGGTTTTTATGGCTTACCCAGTGAAACTTTTGCTTTGTTCCTTAACGGGTGATAAAGATTGAGAAGTTGTGTGGCTAAATCTCTGGTCAAAACTGAGCCAAGAACTACAGTGTAGAAACTCTTCTTGAGTTTTCACAGCCTAATCATGTGTTTCCATTGGTTACCAAGTCATGGTTTATTCACTAAGCCACCATTCATCCTGAGCAAAGCTACAGAATTACTGGCCAGCAAAGTGGCTCAGTTCACTACTACTACTACTACTACTACTACTACTACTACTTCTTCTTCTTCTCCTTCTTCTTCTTCTTCTTCTTCTTCTCCTCCTCCTCCTCCTCCTCCTCCTCCTCCTCCTCCTCCTCCTCCTCCTCCTCCTCCTTCTTCTTCTTCTTCTTCTTCTTCGATGTTGGCGATCCTGTTTTTATCAGCAGCCGCACGAAAAAGTGCAGCTGAGTTTTGTCCGAAGCAGTCCCTTAGATTTTGAAGCCATGATGTTCTTCTTCTGCCTGGACCACGTTTGCCTTCGCTCTTTCCCTGGAGGATTAAATGGAGTATGCCGTATTTTTCTGGGTGTCGCATCACATGTCCGAAATCTTCTAGCTTTCGTTTTTTTTAATTGTTTTGATGATTTCCCTTGGCCTTCCCAGGCGGCTGATCACCTCCTCATTTCTGATCTTGGCTCAGTTCACACGGTCCATAAACCAACCTTAAGTTGGTTGTGGCTTAATTGCAGGCTTAGAAGCCGGTTGCTGAGATTCTGGCCCGGCTGATTTCAACAAAAAGCCTCTTAGGAAATCAAAGGCAATTCCAGGAACCTCGTTGTTCTCGCAAACTTTAATTGGACTTTCCCATCCACCTACTTGAAATAGGCTACCGCCAACAACAGCCTTTGTTTTGTCTCTGATACAATCAGAACTAGAGAGGATTTTTTGCATTCTTAAGTGCTTGGCCCTTTGCCAGAGAGCTTATGAAGTCTAGCCCATTTTTATATCCTTTTCTTGATAAGAAGATGGTTGCAGTGTAGCTAGGAACCCCTTGAGATATTCAGTAACTTGGTTGCTGGATAGCTGCCAACAAAATAGCCCTTGAATTTATTTATTTATTTATTTGGGTATGTATGGGTTGGCCCATCCCAACCTGTTGGCTAGGCTGGCTAAGGAAGTTGCAGGTTGTAAGTGGAACACACCTGCAGTTATTATTGAGAGAAGTTATTGCTAATAGCAGAAGACATGTCCTTGGCTAATCTTTTAGGTCAGCAACAACAAAAGGACAACTTTTTTTTTCTTCCCCTCTCTCCCTTGCATCTGGCCCAGCTGAAGGTTATAGAAACTTCCCTCTGTGTATATTACAAGCTTGTTCTCTCTTCCCTCTTACTCTCCTTTACTCTCCAGTGTAGGATTTCTTGCTGTTCTGCAAAATCTAACCCCAGCCATTGTTGAGTGGGTGCGGGTGTAAACCTTTGCCAGGAATGTGAATAATCAACTTCAAAGCAACTATTTCTCACACAGGACTAAGGGTAAAGAATACATAGAAACCTTCATTCAGTTCTCGGTTTTCAAACAGGGCAGGAGAGAGAAAGTAAGTCTATTCAAAACCACCTCTTTTTTCCTCTCGTGGGCAGTTATTTCCACCTTCTCCCTCCCCTCCTCCAGACCTTTGCGATCATGTTCTGCATTTAACTGGTGCCCACAGGCTGCATCAAAGGTTTAAACTGGACAAAAGTGCATTTTTTTCTCAACGGTGAAAGGTGAAATAAGATGCTTGTTCCCCAGATAGGCCCAAGGATCGTCTTGTGAGGCTAGCCGTAAGGCTGCTGGCTGTAAGATCTTTCCCACCTACGCAATTTGAGGATGGGAACATGTGTGTGAATCACATGTCTGGCTACAGATGTCTGGAAGCCCAGCATTATATATATGTATTTTTTTTAAAGACTGGGACATTTGCCTTGTGTGACTTTTGCATAGGATGGGGGTATGTGGGGCAGTTAAGGATTTTACTGCAAGGAAATCAGTAATAATTTCCAGAGATTTAACTTCTCCAGGGTATTTGAATTCTGCCAGCCACATTTAAGGGGCTGATGATAGGAATCCTGTTGTAGAACTCTGATGTCTCCATTCCAAAAAGGGAAACATTTGGGGGGCAGGAGAAGAAACAAAAGTTTGTGATACTGGGTTCTAGGGAAGATTGTGGGTTTTGTCCCTTACGTGAAGGTGGACATCTTTATCCAGGTTGAGAGACGAGAGTAACCCAGACAATCAGGAGCTTGGAAGGGAACAACTTGAAAGAAATGGTGGTGTGGGAGATGTTTAGCTTGGTGAAGAAAAATTTGCCAGGAGACAGAAGAGCTGGTTTCAAAGATGAGAAGGAACAGGGCTTTTCAACCTTTTCACCCATTGTACCACTTTTAGGATATGGCAACATCCGAGCACCACCAGTCGCCTAGCAAGGTGTCAAAAACTTGATGACCCCCCCCCAAAAGGAAAAAAGTGATAAAAGTACAGGTAGTCCTCGACTTACAACAGTTCGCTTAGTGACTGTTCAAAGTTACAATGGGATTGAAAAAAGTGCCCCCCTAGCCACAGCCAAGCAAGACACCTGCCTGCCCGCCCGGCAGCGTTCTTCCTCCTGTCCAAGGTTTTCGTTGTTGTGAGCATTTCTGTTGAGGATTGGCAGTGGGGGAGGGGTGGGGGTGTTTGGTTTTTATTCCCCCCCCGTCTGCTGGGTGGTTGCAGCAGGTTTTGGTCACTTCACATGACCCTGGGACACTGTGACCGTCATAAATATGAATCAGTTGCCAAGCATCTGAATGTAAATCACAAGATCCTGGAGATGCTGCAACATTCCAGCTGATCGGCGTTTCTTCTGGGCTCAGCAGAAGTGCCAGGATCAGTGCTGCTTTCCAGCTGATTGGTGCTTCTTCAGGGCTCAGCAGAAGCACCAGGATCAGCGCCGAGCTGCAGCTGGAGCCTGGTGCTGATCCTGGCGCTTCCACTGAGCCCTGACAGCCCTGAAGAAGCGCTGATCAGCTGAAAGCGGCACTGATCCTGGCGCTTCCGCTGAGCCCTGACAGCCCTGCAGCTCCAGCCATCTCTCGCTCAGGCTTGTGCAGTGCTGCCACCGGTTCAGTTCATTCTCCCCCGCTACCACTTTTTTAGGATGGTCGCGTACCACCTGCCAGGTGCCAATGTACCACAGGTGGTACCTGTACCATTGGTTGAAAAGCCCTGGTCTAGGATCTCCTGCCACAGGCACTTAAAGACCTCAAGAACCCTGTTTAAATTATAAGGAAGTTTTGATGGGACATAGGAGAACATCTGAACAGGGGAGAAGATTCATTAATGAACCAGACTATCTTGGAGATGGTGAATCTCCTTTGCTGCTGAAGGTTGAAGAGAGGATGGATGACTATCTGCTGAGGTGGCTACAATAGTGGATTTCTGCATTAGGGCTAGAACAGGGGTAGGCAACCTCGGCTCTTTTATGACTCGTGGACTTCCAATCCCAGAATCCCTGAGCCAGCCATGCTGTGAGGACAGGGAGAGGTTTCAAAGCTCAGCCCTGCTGGCTCAGGAATTCTGGGAGTTGAAGTCCACGAGTCATAAAAGAGCTGAGGCTGCCTACCCCTGATCTAGAAGATTTCCAAACACTTTCCTCTTTGTTATGATCTAATCCTCCCGTGAATGTGTGGGCTACGAACTAAATCACCCTTCACCGGAACGATGTAGAGTTGGCCACGCCCACCCAGTAGGCCACACCCACTCCATCCATGCCCACCCAGTAGTCCGCACCCCCCCCTGCCCACCCACCCCCCAGGGCAACCACAATGCTGATGCGGCCCTCAATGAAATTGAGTTTGACACCCTTGTTTTAGAGCAGTGTTTCTCAACCTTGACAATTTTAAGGCATGTGGACTTCAACTCCCAGAATTCCACAGCCAGCAATGCTGGCTGTGGAATTCTGGGAGTTGAAGTCCACATGCCTTAAAATTGTCAAGGTTGAGAAACACTGTTTTAGAGCCTTCATTTTCCTGTAGCCCTTTTTACTGTTTTAACTGCTCTTCCATTAACGCTTTCCTCTTAGCAGACACCTAAGTGACAGTAACGTAATAATAGCAAGGTGGAGTTTGCGGGCTTTTTTTCTTTTTCTTTTTAAGAAAAGGAAAGAATACCTATTCTGTTCTCCACCTTCTTAGTTTGGGGCATTGCCTAATTTTTATTTTATTTTGCTTCCGGAATTCCTCGGGCACCTTTGCCCCAGTAGTTCTGAATGGCCGACTCGTGCCTGCTCAGAAAAGAGGGCAAGTTGGCGGAAAGGCCACACCTGAATGCTAATGATCCCAGCGTCCTTCCGCTTCCATGGCTGGCAAAATGCATCAGCTGACATCCACCCTCCCGGGCCTCCCCCCTGTTTGCCCAAATTAAAGGGGTAAAGAACAAAGTTCCGAAGGAAATGCAGGGTAGGACCAATTTGCATAGACATCTGTCAGATAGGAGTTCAAACATGGCCATCTGGATTCACGTCCTCCTCCTCCTCGTTCTCGGTGATTCTGAATAAAGAGGCAGCCACGCAGCTGCCGGTTCGTTTCTGGCACACAAAACAGGCTAGGAACTGAGCAAGCACACATACACATAACAATGATGTTTGGTTTTGTGTGAATGGGATACCCTCTTCCTGAGTGGGGTTTGGGCACATTAATGCAAGCACAATAGCGCAATCCTCGCTTGTTGCTCCCCCCCCCCTTGTAGCTGATGGTACAGCCATCCGTCCCTCTTGACAATCCCTCTGCCCTGTTTTCTTAGTCAAAAAGATAAAAAAAAATGCTTCTTCATATTCAGCTCCTTTAATGGGCGTTCCGGATCTTGCACTTGATTTGAGGAAGCAAAGACCTGGTGTTTGAAGCATCTCTGTTACCATCAGCCGCGTTGGTTCCAGATCTACAGCTCTTTGCTTATTTGTCAGCTCACTTAGGGGGGGGGGAATATCACAGACCCCGGCACCTCTTAAATTTCCCTTCTAATTTAAGACTGGTTTCTGTCTCTTTTGATGTCGTCTCCTTTGCATCAATATGAAGAGTAGGCCCACTATGTCTCACCCGGGGTCTTCCATGGCCATTGGACCAACTCTCACCATACTTAGCTATCATGGTGAGGTGGGATTCTGGGTACCGAAGTTCAGAACATTTGATGGGTGACCAATTGCGGGCGTCTGCAAGTATCTGGCTTATCAAGAAGATCTTGAAGCGGACAGGGGCTGACTCATGATGTTGCTTGCTCTCTCTTCTTTTCTAGGATGGCTTCTACCACTTCTTCAATAAGCATGGCTCGGATGCAGCTGACCAGAACAGCACCATCAGCAACGCTATTATGGCGGCGGCGGGATTTGGCCTGGCAGGATTGGCTTTTCTTTTGGTGGTGCGATAGGAACCCACAACATCGGCGGAGACTTAGACTGCAGGGAGATGGGATGGGTGGGCACGCTCCTTTCTTAAACTGCTAACATCCCAGGAAACGTCCATTCTATATTTCTACAACGGTCGAAGATAGAAGCCTATATATAAATATATATTTTTAACTAGAGTCGGGGCAAAAATTAGTTGAGCACACATCACCTCCTGGCACAACCAATGGTTGGTGAATGCCTCTTTGCGCTCATCCTAAGACTGGGCATCTTTTGGATCTCGGCGTTAGGGCTGTCACCTCGTCACCATTTGTTCTGGGAACCGTTGGGAGTGCTGGGTGTTAATGCTACTTGTTCATGGTGGGCTTGTGATGGAACCAAGTGGAAGACGTGTTTGCCTTTCTTCTTTGTGTGCGTGTGTATGGTGCGGTGGGGAAGGGAGGGGAGGGGAGGTGGGCAGGAGGGATCATTGCCTTGTGAAATGTGAGCCAGTATTAATAAGAATGAAGAGCTTATTCCTCTTGGGGAGCAATGCAAATCATACGGAGGTCACTCAATAACATAAACTTGCAAGTTCCATGTTGCACAGAGCATTATAGCTTACGTGTTTTTGTTATAATGACATAACTCTTAAGTTACACTACAAGTAGATGTTGAGAATGTTGATACCAAAACAGTAGAGGCTGCAGAACCAGTTCTTAACTGAAGTTGTTTAACTATTAAAAGAAAAAGAAAACCTTTTTAAAATTGGTATATTTGGAAGTCCATTGAAGGCTGGGATTTCCGTGGATTTCCTGTCAAATCCAGAAACTCCATATAACTTAATATATTTTTGAAGTATTTATCATTGTATAATACTGGTAGCTGGTTAACATCTATTTTTGTTAAATTCCATTTTTTTAAAAAGAAAAGCTCTCCAGTTGCTTTCTTGGCTGTATCTGTCTTATAACTTGTTTAACAGTTCTAGTTTTGGTAATTGATAGACTGTGTATTGTACAAAATAGTCTTTGAGAAGTGTTCTGTGTCCTTTCCTTTAGCTTGTACAGTTTTAATATGTGAATAAACATAACTGAATATTTTTATTTTAAACAAGTTTATGAGTAGACTTTATGTGGAATTTTTTTCTCTCTCTCTCAAAGGCCCAACACGCCAGGAGCATGACTGTGCCTCCAAGAAAAAGCAGTTCTTGTTATTTGTTTGTTTTTAATGCTTTTTTTCTCTGCTCAAAGGGGAGATAAATGCTATCGCTTCCACGTTCCAGCAATCAGGAGACTTGACGCCATCTTTGTGAATGCAAGACAAATTTCCTGCAAACGTTTCACGTGCTCCTGTCACAATGCATTTTCTGTCTCACAATGTAGTTTGGACACCTTTCCTTCCAGGCCATTGTACAGCGGTGTGGCTGCAGTACATGAGATGAACACAACATCCCAAACATTTGCAGAGGTGGAGAAACAGAAGTTTGGCCTATCTTAGTGAATCAAGGGCAGATTTTGCAAAGGGCATAATCTGATGTGTACTGAGCGGCCGTATAAATGGCTATAGTTAAGTGACAGTGAATTGAAGACTGACATTCAGATGTCTTTTGGTATATATCTTAGCTTGAGAGAAGAGGTGAAAACGTGCAGACATCATTCTCTTCAAAGCTACTACATGTTTCCATGGACTTTTCAATTAATGAGAGAGCTGCTTTAAAGAGTCAGCTCATTAAAGCAAATACAGCTTCTGGCCTGCACAGAAGCTCAAAAAAAGGTGCTGTGAATTCATTTTCAAAGCACCTCTCGATCCTATTTTGAGCCATGTTTTAACTTTTTTGCTTTCACTTTTTAATTTGAGCTGGTGCCTGTCTTCAGGGCACCATGATTGGAATGACAAACTTAGTGAAGAAGTAATGCTTTGCTACTTGATCTCTCCAAGAAATCTTAAAAAGGTCTTCTAATTTTGCCTGGAAAGTCTTCTCCGAAAGGAGCTGAACTTAATTTAGGACACTGATTTCTGACCCCAGAAGTATCTGCTTTTAAAGAGGCCCAGACTTTTAAGTACGTCCACTGAGCTTTCCCGAACTCTTTTCTACGTTGAAAAAAAAAATAAAAACGAGTCGGTTGGAAAAGCAGCAGCTGTGGTATTTTCCTTTCCTTGGACACCTGTGCATCTGCTTTGCAACTACTGATGGGTTAGGGGTTGATGACTGCCGTTTAATTTGCCACCTGTCTTTTTAAAGTTTAACGTAAAAAGTTGAAATCCAAGATTAACCTTTTCCGCAGGAGGGGATCTGGCCACGTGTCGCTTTTCTCATTTATGCCAAAATAAAAAATAAAAAAAATCCACAGGATTTTGTGCTCACCCAGGTTCTCTGCTGATGGCCTGGTGGCTCAATCCATTGCTCAGAAACAGTTTTTGGAAAGGGGCAGGTTGAAGCCAAATACAACTTGCAATCTCAGTCTTTGAGCCCAGGATTTACTGATTGCATTTATTCGATGCTGATTTTCAGCCCTCTGAATGGATACAGGATGTTTTATGGTTTAAACTCCAAAACGGGACAAAGCCAATAGAAAAACACTTCAATGCTATGGCCCTTTCTTAAGACCATAAGGCCTAGCTCTTCAGTGGGCTGATAACCCTGAGAATTGGGCTTCCATCTTACCTGTACAGGTGTTAATATTATTAATAATAATAATAGAGTTGGAAGGGACCTTGGAGGTCTTCTAGTCGAACTTCCTGCTCTAGCATAAACCCTACCCTAGTGATGGCGAACCTTTTAGAGACCGAGTGCCCAAACTGCAACCCAAAACCCACTTATGCATCGTCGGGTGCTGGGTGGGTGTGACCCATTGGGTGGGTGTTGCCCATTGGCTGGGCGTGGCTGCAGTGGTAACGGCAGACTGGGTGGGACTAAAAAGTTCAGTCAATTCCAACTTTGCAAGATCTTTTTTTTTCTTGCGAGAAGTTGAAATTGACTGAATTTTTTTTTTTTTTTTTTTGCACACGGCGGAGGCCTAAAGCGAAAAGGTTTTATAAAACCCAGCTGAAGGCCTAGGACTGGGGCGATGGCGCATGTGCCCACAGAGAGGGCTCTGAATGCTGCCTCTGGCACCCGTGCCATAGGTTCGCCACCACTGCCCTACCTCATTTCGGACAAATGGCTGTCCTGTCTCTTCTTAAAAACTTCCAGTGTTGGACCATTTGCAACTTCTGGAAGCAGGTAGTTCCACTGATTAATTGTTCTAACTGTCAGGAAATTTGTCCTTTGTTCTAGGTTGCTTGGTAAATGGAGGTAGTCCTCCATTTACGACCGCAAGTGAGCCCACAATTTCTGTTGCTAAGTGAGGTAGCTATCAAAGTGAATTTTGCCCCATTTTACAACCTTCCTTGCCACAATTGTGAAGTGAATCGCTGCAGTTGTTAAGTTAGTCACACGTTTGTTAAGTGATTCTAGCTTCCCCATTGACTTTGCTTGTCTTGGTCGCAAAAGATCCCCAGACACTGCAACCGTCATAAATATGAGTCAGTTGCCAAGTGCCCGAATTTCAATCACATGAACCTGGGGATGCGGCAACGGTCATAAGTCACTTTTTAAAGTGCCGTTGTAACTTTGAACGGTCAGTAAATGAACTTGTATGTCGAGACTCCCTGCGTAGTACCAGGATGGGGGAAATAGTTCTAGACTCTTTGCCATCTTGTAAATCATTTCTAGTCTGCTTCCGTATTGGTTTGATTGATCATCCAGGAAGATGGGGCATTCATCTGGTTTGTAGCCAACATATTTAAAAATCTAGACGGGAGCTACAAGCCCAATATATATTTAGGAAAGAAACCTGTTTTTCAGTTCTAGAAGTTGAAAAACATAAGCAGCCGGCCTGGGGCTGTGCGTCTGCATCGGCTATACAGGTTACGCACAACTGCGAAAGTCAAGGTGTACCTAATTTTGTACTGATTGTGTTCGCTGTCCATAGAGAGTACAATCAAAAGAGTATAAGGAAGCAATTAAAGGTGCCAAGAACTTTTGAGCTCTTTTCGTTTTCTATTTTTATTCCTCTGTAAATCCCCAGTTTTTGTTACTGTTTGTAGAGAAAGAAATGCAAAGCGAATATTATCTGGCAATCTGAAGCAGTTGGTTGGTAGATGTGTGTGTGTGTGTGTGTGTGTGTGTGTGTCTCTGTGTGTGTGTGTGTGTGTGCACTTTTGAAAAGCAAATGCCCCTTAAAGACTCCCATTCGTTTGCTGCGCAGCTCTGATAGGATAGAGCTAGGATCTGCAGTGTGTAGATGTGATAGGAGGGGTTGTCCCTCAAAGGTGGAAGTCACCCCATGTTCAAAGAAAATCTTTTCTTTTGGGCCCCCCGTCTTTCAGGATTGTAGCCTGTATCAACACCCAATTCAGGGAGTTCCTGTGTTTAATCTAGCATGACCTTGTGATTATTTCTGAACAGCCAACTCCCAGTGTAAACCTAGATAGAACAGGAATAAGGAACTCCACGCCCTTCCCTCCTGGCATGATTTTTCTTGTGTTACAAGGATAGCATTATGTTGGGATGGATGGGCAGTAGCTTCACCGGTAGGACAGACAAGGAAGATTTGCAGTACAAGTCTCCAATGGGAGAGGGGAATTTTGGACGCCCGTTGCGAGCACATTCACAATGCGGCTTTCATGGTGGGCCTGGCCAGTCCAGCTTTATGTAGCAAAAAGCAAAGTCAAAAGTAATAGTAATAGTAGTAAAGTTGGAAGGGACCTTGGAGGTCATCTAGTCCAACCCCCTGCTCAGGCAGGAAACCCTACACCATTTCGGACAAATGGCTATCCAGTCTCTTCTTAAAAACTTCCAGTGTTGGAGCATTTACTGCATCTGGAGGCAGGCTGTTCCACTGATTAATTGTTCTCACTGTCAGGAAGTTTCTCCTTAGTTCTAGGTTGCTTCTCTCCTTGATTAGTTTCCACCCGTTGCTTCTTGTCCTGAACTGAAAAAGCTTCTTGGATGAGAAGCAAAATGTGTCTTCAAGGAAAGACAAAGTCCACTTGCCTTTTGAAAAAGCACCTTTGGCACAACCATGGCTTGGATGAATGAGAATATTCGTAGACACGGAGTCCTCTACCAGCCTTAGGAGTCTCCCAAAATAATACCAAATTATTCTGTTTTCTTGGCAGGCGCCCTCCCCCCTTTAAATAGAGCCCTTGATTATAGATATTTTTGTTTTTATTTCCTTAGAAGGTCTGAAGAGTACAAGGAGGAGCCTAAGGCCGTTTCTTGGAACAGATCAGGCTGGAGGTTAGCACATGGCTTGGCAGTAACCCAGTTTCTCGTTGGACTGATTTTTAGTTAGAAACCTCCTTCAAAGGAAATCTGGAAATGAACTTTGGGTCATGTCAAGGATCAAATATTTGGAGGGCATCTGGGGTTCAAGAAATGGAACCATTTCTCATCAACCTGGTCTTTATCCAGAAGGACCTTTGAGGAGGAGACCCATGGTAAGATGCCTTCTGGGGCTCCATGTACACATTTGGAGGTCTTCCTGCTCAATTTTTATTCTTTTCTTCCCAAGAGACTGGAACATGAGTTCTATATGGGATCAAGAATAGGGACCCTGTGGATCCTACCTCAACAGATACGGCCAATAGGAAGGTATGGCGAAAGGCCTAATTCAACAAGTCATTTCTTTCCCATTATTTTAAATCTTTAGAAAACTGCTGGCCTTGTCAAGCTTCCACCAAGAATTTAGGTAAAGTTTTTATCTTATCAAACACATGATGAGGGGGGACAGGATAGCAGTGTTCCAATATCTCAGGGGCTGCCACAAAGAAGAGGGAGTCAAACTATTTTCCAAAGCGCCTGAAGGCAGGACAAGAAGCAATGGATGGAAACTAACCAAAGAGAGAAGCAACCTAGAACTAAGGAGAAACTTCCTGACAGAACAATTAGCCAGTGGAACAGCCTGCCTCCAGAAGCGGTGAATGCTCCAACACTGGAAGTTTTTAAGAAGAAACTGGACAGCCATTTGTCCGAAATGGTATAGGGTTACATGCCTGAGCAGGGGGTTGGACTTGATGACCTCCAAGGTCCCTTCCTACTTTATTATTATTATTATTATTATTAATAA